TCTTTTCAATCGCACTACACCATTGCGAGCGTTGCTGAAGTCATCAATGTCATCTTTCATCTGGTCTCCGGATTGTGAGCGGGCATTCGTGGATCTCAAAGAGCTATTGACAACTCCTCCGGTTTTGGCATATCCTGACTACAATCGACCTTTTATTTTGCGCGTGGATGCTTCTGACATTGGTCTTGGAGGTGTGTTGATGCAAGAGAGCTCGAGTGTGCCTGGTCAGCGCCATCCCATTGCATACATAAGCCGTACATTACAACCAGCGGAGATGAACTACTCCACAACGGAGAAGGAGTGTTTAGCAGCAGTCTGGGGTTTCGAGAAACTTCATGCATATCTACATGGTTCTCGGACGTTACTTGAAGGTGACCATGCTGCTGTTACTTCATTATTGAAGCAGAAGAACCTGGTTGGTCGTACGGCTCGATGGGCCTTGAAGCTTCAGATATATGATTTCGATGTTGTTCATCGCCCAGGGAGTTCTATGGCTGATGCTAATGCCCTTTCTCGAGCTCCTCTTCCTTCTCCACTCACTTCTCATCATTCTGACGAACCTGTTGTTCCAGCATCTGTGGATTTTCTAGATGAGGATTCTATGCCATCGGCAGTTGCTGTCCTTGACGTTCAGTGTCCACAGGGTGCAGAGCAAGATCTGCCTTCTCTTGAGGAGGTTCGCGAGGCTCAGAAGATTGAGCCGTGGATTCGAAGGCTTCGAGATGGGTTTGAGAATCCTGCATCACTTGCTGATGACTTGCCTTTCCGGCATTTACATTCTCAATATCGCCTTGAAGATGGCCTTCTTTATTTTGTGGGGACGGATCCTGATGATCATTTACGACTGGTGGTACCTTCAGTGTTTATTCCGCGGTTTCTCCATGCCTACCATGATTCTCCTGTTCTAGGTGGGCATATGGGACACCGTCGTGTCACCGAGAAGCTGCGCAGGTCTTTCTATTGGCCGGAAATGCGACGTGATATTATCCGGTATGTGCGTAGCTGCGTTTGGTGCCAAGCTCGTAATACTCCCCCTTATGCTGCAGAAGGACGGTTGGAGTCAATTGCAGTTTCCCGTCCGTTTGAGTTGGTGGCGTTTGATCTTATGGGACCTTTTCCACGATCAACTGCTGGCAATGAGTATGTTATTATTGCTTCTGACTACTTGACTCGTTGGGTGGAAGTTGGTGCTCTTGCTAGTGCCTCTGCAACTGCTGTTGGATACTTCCTCCTCAATCGAGTGGTGTTTCAGCATTCTTGTCCAGAGCGGATTCTTTCGGATAATGGTCTTGCATTTATGGCTGAGGTATTTCATGTTTTGACATCTCGGTTGGGGATACGCCACACTTTTACGAGTTCTTATCATCCACAATCAGACGGTTTGGTGGAACGGCTCGTTCGGACATTCAAAGGGATGATTTCGAAGTATGTGAACTTTCAGCATTCGGATTGGGATGGTTATTTGCCGTCTCTTCGGTATGCCTATGTCACAGGGGTGTAGAGTTCTGTTGGTGCTTCACCATATAAACTTCTATATGGTCATGATCCAATATTACCAACAGAGTTGGGTTTACCTTCGCAATTGCCACGAGCTCCTGATGCTAGGTCATGGGATCTGTATTTGACAAACATTCTTCCACTTGTCCGAGCAGAGTCTGCCGAACACTTAGGCCGCGTACAAGTGGGACAACAACGGCGCTACAACTCCCATCATCGTCCACCTGCGGAGTACAAAGTGGATGATTTGGTGTTAGTCCGTTTTCCCCATCTTACGGTACGTGGTTTATCTAAGGGGCTCCTTGCGCAGTGGAAAGGACCGTATCGGGTGTTGCAGCAAGTTGGACCGCAAGTTTATGAGGTTCGGCATGACGTTCAGCAGGCCGATCCTCCGGAGATTATGCATGTGCAGCGGTTAAAACGCTTCATACAAAGGGATCAGGAGCAGTTAATACCGTCTACAAATCCGCCGATGCCTCCTCCTGACGTTCCTCCAGATCCCGGCCCATCTACAAGAGAACCCTGACGGCCTTCCATTATTCCGAGAGGAGGGGATGATGTGAGGGCCAAGTGTACGGCTACGATGCCGTATACTAATATTAGCGTAGTGGATTTTGGTAGCCGTCGGATTAGTTTCAATCCAGACCACTCGCTCCTGTATATAAGCTAGGGTTTTTGGGCTAATTGATATGCACATTTCTGTATTCCCTTTCCATATTCCATGCACTCATAGAACTAAATATATAAATATTTATACAAAACTATATAAAAATATATTTAAAAACTAATAGTAATTACAAGACATTTCAATATTAACTATCAAAATCAATAAGTAAAACCACTTCAAACAATAATGGACAAGGAAAGATATGAATAAAATAATAAAAGACAATACACATTTTAAGAAACTAACAAATCACATATAGATAAAATTTATAAATATACAAAAGTAGGAATAGCACTAATATATTGACAATGCACAATAAACCCTGTTTTTGTTAGTCACTAAAAACTTTAATTTGCTTTAGCAAACATATGTGGAACATATTTTACTATTTAAAGGCTTGATATTCATTTAGACCAATCTTGTGTTTAGATTTCATGGATTGTTTTGTGTTACTCTTTTGTGAATTATAATCAAGACAGAAGGGTTTGAATTTGGGAAGTGGGAAAACTCTAGGTTTTTTACTAAAAATATTCTTGTGTTGAGTATAAAATTCTTTTTCTTCTTTCTTAATTGTCAATGATAAAAGTGCAAATCAAATATCTTAGAGTATTTTATTTTCTTTGATTAAAAAAGGAGGTGCTATCATCAATAACAAGTGTCCAAGAAAAAGTTAAAGTTGCTTATATAATGTTTCATTTATTAAGTTGTAAGTGTTTTAAATTAAATAGTGCAAAAAAACAAATCATTTTCTCATAACTGTTTTTTGTTGTGTTATCAATTTGGAATTTTACTAATACCAAATTAATTAATATATAGAGGATATATTTTAATATATATTATTTAAAATACACAAGCAAGCCAAACAGCACAGGAAATTAGTTTTTGCATTTCATGAACAAAAGCTTGAACTTTCAAATGAAAGATACTCAAAGAATGTGCAAGACAAAAAAGCTTATGCAAGGCAATCTGTCTTGCAAATATTCCCTGTGGTCCATCTATTTACTAGTAGTTCTTTTAATGCCTTGGCTGAAACAATCCAGCCAAGGAAGAAAAAAAACCTCTGGAATTCAAAAGAATACGTTTGACAAACAAAATCAATGTGTCTCTTTGCCTTTTGTGTTTAATGGATCTCTCTGTGGTGACAGGCGCAGTGCATGAATCACCGAGCTCTCAGCTTAATCACAGTGTGGAGACAAAAAAATAAAATCGAAAGCTTTATATTTTCCTAGAGAGGAAGAAAGCGATGGTGTCAGCACCTCGGACAGTAGCTCCATTAAGGTCTCTGTTTGTTTCTATCTTCCAGATACCTTCCATTTTTCTCACTCCCAATCGTTTCAACTTCCAAAGAACGAAACAAGCGTCGAAAGTTTATGGACGAGCGCAGGAGGAACAACACAGGCAAGAATCTTCTCGCACTGGCATTAAATTTTCTCGCCTGGAGGAGAGAAGCAGCATCGATTCCAGGAGCTCCCGCGAGAGAGACACTGATTTCTCGCCAGATCCAGCGTCAGGTTCTTCTCAAGCATGGCTTTCTATTATTTTCTGCGAGCCGCCATCTCCATCTCTGTAGAGAAACGAAGAAAAAGAAGAAGATTCCTTGTTCTCGCTTGCGCGACACGTGTACCTGGCATGCAAATGTGTGTTAAATTTTAACCCTCCTTTCCCATTTAGGAGCTCTCGTTTAACACTTTGTTCTTCTTCCAGCTTTTCTGCCCTAATTCGCTGCTTTGCTGTGGAGGGGGCGCTGCGCAGCGCAGCGCTTTCTCTCTTTCTCTCGCGAGTTTTTTCGCTGCTTTTGTTTCGATCCTTTCTTCTCTCTTGTTTGATCGTCCGTTGCGCATCATTTAAGGCGCTTTGTTTATAGCGAGCGAACAAAGCAAGGAATTGGTGCGAGCGAGAGAGAGAGAAGAGGAGGAGAGGAAGAACGAAGGCTAGGAATGTGAGTCTTTGATTCCTCCAATTCGCGCATGCGTGGCCTTCTCCGGGTAAAAGTGGATTGTGCGTTTTCTAGCTTGCTATAAGTGAGCATAGTGTTTTTCTTTCTACTTGGAACTATTGCTCTCTCCCAATCAGAGGAAAAAGTTCTTCCAAGTGTGAGTGTAGAGCCTTCTCAAGAGGACCAGGAGAACGATCGAGAAGAAAAAGGAGTTTTCTTCTTTCTCTTCGAGTGAGATCCATCGCCTAAACTCTTCTCCAACTTTGGCACTCGATTCCACCCGTCGATCACCATGTTTTTCCCACCGTTTCTGATGAACTTGCTCATCGCCTCGAGCTGGACACCTATTCCATGGCTGCTACCGCCGCCACTCTGCTTCCTCGTCTGGGCCTCGGCGATTCCCGTCACCGCGGCGCAGTACTACTGCTTCCAGATGGGGATCAGTGCTACGCCGCCGCCGCTCATGCTCCAGCACTTCTTCTACTCGCAGTGGGCTTCCTCGCTTCCATTCAGCTACCCAAATCCTTTCAGCCTCGGAGAGTAGTGAGCGATCGGCCGTCGTCCCAAAGTTTGGAATCCAAGTCAAGTGATCGTCACTCGACTTAAATCGAAACGTTGGTAGAAAATAAATGTTCTTTCCTTCGTCCTCGTTCTCTTTCGTTCTTCCATAACACAACACGAGATCTGTGTATTCCACTGATTCTTCTGGTTTGAATCGTACGGTATCTTTCCAGCGAGAAAAGAGGTACGGGTATTAATTATCTGGCAGCTTAGCCAGCCCGACTAATAAATCCGTTGTCGTCTAGTCCGGTCAGGATACCTGGCTCTCACCCAGGCGACCCGGGTTCAAATCCCGGCAACGGAATGGATCTTGTGTGTGACCTCCGTGTTTGTTCACGACGCATTCTCCTCTTGAAATTTCAATGGTCTTCTCTTTTTACTAATTTTTTCTGTAGCGCTTTCGTTGTGGGCTTCGATCAGATCCACTAGCTAGCTAAGTATACACTGAAAGATCAACTCTTTTTCTCAAACATTCTCTTTTTCTTGTTCAAAGTTTTCGTTCTTTCGTTTTCTCTAGTCGCGACCTCAAGATGCTCGCTCCAAGAGTAAGATTGTGATACTGCTTTTTTGACTTTGGCCAAGTTATTTTTTTTCTTCGTTCCACTTTCCTTGTTGGTTTCCTCCTCTGACCTGAGAGGTAAACCCAAGAACGCGATGGAGATGGTTTTTCTTCGTTGTTGTTGTGTTGCGCTTACTGGTTCCAACTTCGCCATCCCTGGCGGCCCCATTTCATCGCCATCGCCATAGCCACGACTCTCTCTCTCTCTCTCTCTCTATTAGCGTGTTTTTGTTTGTGGCCCTCGGCGCCCCTGTACAAAATGCTCGTGCGTCTCCAGACGACGAGTGCGAGTAAGTCTTTCCAACAAACGCAATTAAAATCGATAGAAAAGTGTGAAAACTAATCCCCTCGCCCACAGTCCTTTCCAGCGTTCGTGTTTAGCTGCGCAGTATTCTTGACACGGTCACTACGTTTTCTTTCCATCTCTATTTATCCTTTTTTGTTTCCAGGAGTGCCGTGGGCGAGCAAACTAGAGGTAAACCGAGTAGTATCAGATCTCAGCCAGAGCTCGAATTGGGAGAGGAAAGAAACTTGGGGGAAATTGTAGCAGCAGCAGCAGTAGCTTCAGCTAGATCTCTCGCTCTCTTTCTCTCTGTTCGAGAGAACGGACGAACGAGAGGTAGAGGTCTCTCACTCTCACAGCTATGGCAACCAAGATGGATCCTCCAAATGGCTACTGCCCTCCAGACAAGCACTACTACATGCTGTGGCACAGCTTGTTTGAGATCGACACCAAGTATGTTCCAATTCGTCCGCTGGGGAAGGGAGCGTATGGAGTGGTGTGCTCGGCCGATAATCTGGAGACCGGGGACAAGGTTGCCATAAAGAAGATTGGGAATGCGTTCGAGAACTCCATCGACGCGCTGAGAACTTTGCGGGAGATGCGACTGCTGCGGTACTTGCAGCACGAAAACGTGGTGGGGCTGCTGGATATCATGAAACCCGTCGGGAGATACACTTTCAACGATGTCTACCTGGTTTACGAGCTCATGGACACGGATTTGCACCAGATCATCCGCTCCTCGCAGCCCCTCACGGACGAGCACTACCAGTTCTTTATCTATCAGGTACTCCTCGTTTAGCTGTGCCTGGTTATAGTCCTTCGTTTTCAACTCGGTTTTTTTCTTGTTCTATTTCCTACGTCTTGTTTTGTTCTCTAAGTTGTTTGATCCATGGCTCCTTTGGTTCTGCCATACGTCGGAAAATCAGTTTTTCTTAAGTTTTAGTCGGTGTCCCAGCTCCTCCGCGATCTCGTCTACTTAGTTCTATGCTGTCCTTCGATTTTCAGCCATCAAAATCATGCTTTTTTCTCATGAAAATCCTCTGTTCCCAGTCCGTCTAGTTTCTACCGTCGCAAAAATTTGTTTTTTCTTCATTGACGTGTGTGTTCTTCGTCTTCCAGCTGCTTCGTGGTCTCAAGTACATCCACTCGGCCAACGTTCTCCACCGCGACTTAAAGCCCGGCAACTTACTCCTCAACGCAAACTGCGATCTCAAGATCGCCGACTTCGGCCTGGCGAGAACCGGGCGAGAGAAAGGCCAGTTCATGACCGAGTACGTCGTCACTCGCTGGTACCGCGCTCCGGAACTCCTCCTCTCGTGCGAGGACTACACCAGCGCCATTGACATCTGGTCCGTGGGATGCATCTTCGCCGAGCTCCTGGGGAGAAAGCCGATCTTCCCAGGCAAGAACTACATCAACCAGCTCAAGCTCATCATCGACGTGATCGGATCGCCCAAGGAGAGCCAGCTCGGGTTCATCAGCAATCACAAAGCTCGAAGTTACATCCGCTCCTTGCCGCCAACGCCGAGAGTTCCATTGTCTCGCCTCTATCCACACGCGAATCCGCAGGCGTTGCAGCTCATCGAGAGGATGCTTGCCTTCGATCCAAAGGAGCGGATCACCGTGTCGGAGGCGCTGGATCATCCGTACTTCAATCTGGTTCACGACAATCACGCTGGAGATGTCTACCAGTTTCGTCCGGACAATATCATCCCTCCGGATGTCATGGAGGATCAAATGGTCGACACGAGCAGTAACTTGCGGGAGTATGTGTGGAGGGAGATGTGCTACTACCACCCCCAGGCGATCAACGAGATGTGATCAATATCATTTCTTATACATATATTGATTCATTTTATTAAGATTGTATCATATCCTCGGCGAAGAAATAAAACCTTCGGTTTGATTTCCTCGAAGTTTGTCCAAATGCTTTCAACCATGTTCCCCCTTTGTTCTTGCGTTCGTATTTCTCATCCCACTCGAGCTCTTCTTCGATGCTTCCATCTTTTCTACGTCCTGCTCGGGATTTCCTGTGTCTTTCGAATCAATCTACAACTTCAAGTTTGTCTGCGCCTCGATCTCCCAATATACTAATCGTGAAACGAAGAAAAACTACACAAACCTACCGTAGTACTTGAATCAAGCAACGAGAAATTGGCGCGTTCTTTCTTCTTTATACTTTTCTCTCGTGGAGCCACTCCATGACTTCCAGTTATCAGTCGTTCCAATCTGGGTGTAGACAAGAAACTAAACAATCGATCAGTTCTAGGAAGTTCACTTTCTTCCCAGTTTTCCATCGATTCCTTGACACGATCTTGGTGTCGTGTCCCTGTGGTGGAAACTTCGCTTTCGTAAGCGTTTAAAACCGCAAAAACGTATAGACTTTGTATTCTCGTAGTCCCCGCGACTGGATCCTTCGCTATTACTTTGTTCTTCCTTTGGTTAGCGAAAAAGTTATATGATCTTGCGTTTTGCCTGCGCATCACTGATAAAGAACCATTTTTGCAGGAGCATGATCCTTGTCCTTGGTTTCTACTGCAAGCTCTTGACATTAGAATCTCTCAGACAAAACGAAACTCGCAATGAACAAACTACAGTTTTTGCGAGAGTCTGCTTCTCGTTGAAAATCCATTCACAATGTTCTTGCAAATTTTCCCAAGAGCGTTGATTTCATCACGTCTTTGTGGAGAGATTTCTAAAGCTTCGATGAATCTAGAGCCAGAGAAGTAAGAACAATCTCAAGAACTCAGCTCTACCAGCTAGATCTCGAAATTAACTCTGAGAATTATACATATATGCACTTTTTCGTATTTACTGAAATGTACATACGTTTTCAAGATCATCATACTCCTACAAAAAATGTTGTTTTGGATCTCCTTTTCCCCTTTAATTATGGGAGAAGATCTGGGCCGTTGCAAGCAAGCTGGAGCTGGAATCTAGGCCGTCGGTGCAGGCGATCTTGGAGGATGGCGGCGATGGAACTTTGAGCATTCTAGACACCGAGTTGTGTCCCGGGCTGGGGCTCGAGCCCGGCGTGCTGCCTTTGGGCAATTTGCTGCTAATCGCCACTCTGGACGACGAGCCCATCGTCTGCGCATTGTGATCCTTGCTGGGTCCTGGATTGGGGGTGAAGTTTCCCTTGGGCATCTTGCTGCCCAGCTCGATCTCGAGCTTGGCGCCTTGAACGAAGCGATTCCCCCCTGGATTGGGGCCTGATGGAGCATCGAATTTGGCCCCAATGAGCGTCGATCGAGAGACCTCCTTCTTGCCTCCCAGGATCGCGGCATTCCCCCCCGGATTGGGGCCGGAGGGCGCTACGAATTTGCTCCGGAGCTCAAGACCCGATGGCGATCGCTCCTCGATGTTCTTCCGAGGCTCCAACCGCGAGCATTCCATCCCAGGCATGGGCAGAGCCAGCGCCATCAAGAGCAGCAAGCCGGCAATCGATCCTGGCGCCATTTTCATCCAAAGCTTCTATCTTCTGACCACCAAATCGATCGATCGAATCAAGGAATGGATAGAATTCTCTTTCTCGGGCGCTCTTCTAACTGATTGGGTCTCGCAGTGCTCCAGCATCGTTGAGATTTTTCGTTTTTATAGCGTCGCCGCCGCAGAGCAAGCATGGAGAGAAGCTTACAGGCGCGTGCTTTAAGTGTTTTGATTTGACGCGGCCCGGATTGACCGGCCAAAATCTTTGACCGGTCTCGTGACTGTTTGTGGCCACTCCCTGGGAAACATGTGCCGCACAGTCAAACGTTACCAATAGTAACTTTTCGCTAATAAAAGAAAAGCCCTAAAAATGAACATACCGTGATTATTCCTAATAATATACCTTTTGTACAGAAGAGATTATTCCTGATAATATACCTTTCTGTGGGAATCTAGGTCATGGATCTGGGTGATTCTCATATTTTGGGAATATTCGGGGCGTCAGATCGGACGGTGTTTCTCGTGTAGCTAGGCGCTTAGATTCGTGGATCCTTCCATTTGTGCGCGTCGGGAGATACCCCTAGGCGATCTTTAGAGGTCCTCCTATGTGGCGCTCGTTGTGGGGAGCGATGCGATGGATCAAGGCGAGGTAAGCCTAGAGGCAGTGCGATCGCGGCAGAGAGAATTTGGGGTTCTTTAGGGGTCACTTAGATCGTTGAGAAACGCTTCCAGGGCAGCAGTGAATTTGGGTCTTGGTTCTAGCTCTTCGAGGATTTTTCTTTGGTTCTATTCTAGCTCCTCGATCGTGTTTTTGGAGGAATTTTTTGCTGGATGGCGTCCTACATGCTCGTCAATTGTAGCAATTGCCGCACGCCTTTGCAACTCCCGGCTGGAGCGAAGGCCATTCGCTGTGCGCTTTGCCATGCCGTCACTCACATCGCCGAGCCTCGCAACGTCCCACCATCGCCATACTCGAATGGAGCTCCTCCTGCCAATCCCCTCCAGTACTCCCCGAGTGTTCCCAGCGCTCATGGATCCAAGCGAGCGCTCATCGTCGGGATCAGCTACAAGTACTCGCGTTACCAGCTCAAAGGTTGCATCAATGACGCCAAGTGTATGAAGTTCTTGCTCATGAACAAGTTCCAGTTCCCGGAGTCTTCGATCCTTATGCTCACAGGTAACTTTGATTCGACTCTTTTGTATTTTCTGAAAGCTGGTTTTTTCGTGATGATCCAGAGGAAGAGAGAGACCCTCTACGACTTCCCACGAAGCAAAACATGAGGATGGCGATGTTTTGGCTCGTCCAGGGATGCAAGTCGGGAGATTCTCTCGTCTTTCACTACTCGGGCCATGGATCGCAGCAGCGGGACTACACGGGCGAAGAGGTTGACGGATATGACGAGACGCTTTGTCCCGTGGACTTTGAGACGCAAGGAATGCTCGTGGACAACGAGCTCAACGCGACTTTGGTCAGGCCTTTGCCTCGTGGAGTGAAGCTCCACTGCATTATCGATGCTTGCCACAGCGGGACTGCGCTGGATCTTCCCTTCCTCTGCAAGTTTAACAGGTATGCCTCACTTGGGATTTACGCAAAAGTCTCTCAAAAGGCCTCTTTTTTCTTCTCGTTTCTTGCAGCTATGGCCAGTTTGCTTGGGAAGATCATCGGCCTCGATCCGGGGCTTGGAAAGGTACCAGCGGCGGCGACGCGTACTCATTCAGTGGCTGTGACGACGGGCAAACTTCGGCCGATACTTCTGTATGTTCTGTCGCAAAGTTTCGTAGGCTCGCAGCTAAATCTTGTTCTACTTGCAGGCTTTGTCGAAAGTTACTTCGACTGGAGCTATGACTTATTGCTTTATCCAGGCCATTGAGCACGGGCATAAAACTTATGGAAGTGTCTTGAATGGGATGCGTCAGGCTATCCGGAACGCGAATACCTCCTCGGGAGGGATCGGCGGGGGCGGTGTGACAACTCTTATAGGAATGCTTTTAACCGGTGGAAGCGTCGCTGGTGGATTAACGCAGGTTCGTATCTCTTTTCTAGAAACTCGTATAGCCTACGATCTATAACTCTGGATACAGGAGCCACAACTTACATCCGCGAATCTCTTCGATATCAACATGCCATTCACCCTTTGATTCTTGGAGCAGCCACAATAATTCTTGTGAATCACCTTTGTAAATTAGCACAGATTCTGGAAGCTTGGTTTTTCTCTAATCAGTCACTCTATACTTTGCTTGAGGTACCACCTATTGAAAAGAATGATTTTTCTATGGTTTTGTCTGTCCGTGAGAAGGATGACAATGTCAACATGTCTTTGGGAAGCAAGCAAACAATGCGCAAGATCAAGTCCCCGTCCTTGGTTTGGCATTGTTTAGCTTTCATTGATTCCGTGAATGAGTGCACAGCTTTGGCCCGTACGGCCCGGGGGGAATAGAAGAAATCGGAAAAGTCCGTACGCAAAAGCAAGGGAAAAACCGACCTTTGATATCTTAAAATCTTACTGTTTCCTGGACAACCATCTGATCACCAAGGGACAAAGCTCTCCTGGAATGGATTGATTTTTTGGCTTTAGAATTTCCACTCACGAGGATAATATGGTTTGCGGGCATTTTGCTTGCTTGCTCGACGAGCTCTTGGCCCTGCCATTGTTTTTGTCTGTCTGTCTGTTTGCTGTGTCTCGAGCAAGGTGCTTCGAACCCAAGCTGTGGAAACCATCAAACAAATCGCACAACAACAGGCTTTCCGGCATTTGCTTGGGAGCAAAGTCGTCGTAAAGCACCCCTCCCCCATGGTTTTAATTCTAAACAAATCCATCATGTAGGTAGTATAGATAAACGATACTCTATACTTTCATATTCCATTCTTTCTTTGGTTCAAAGTCTCGTGAATCGTTCCAAGGTTTCATTTTCATACAATCCAATTGACTGACCACCGCTCCACTCTCCAAAATAGTGGAAAAATCTAACGACACGAGGCGAGCAAAGAACCAAACAAAGAGCGCCCTAAAAAGATTTGGATCAATCGATGGCCATGGATGGAATGGAATCGATCCATTCGCGGAGACTTTGGTACCAGGTCAAATCTCGACCCGGTTTAAGCATAGTTGACTTCGCTTTAAACCCGGGGGAAAAACCCGCGATTAAACGCGGCATTGACCCGCTAAAAGCGGGGAGGAGGCATTCATGGCAAAAGTCAGTGCTGTGCGGTGGCAGGCACCACCGGCACCGCACCAAAATTTACCACCCTCGGTAAAAAAGCTCGTTTTTATTTCCACCCCTTTTTTCCACAGGCTTTTCCCTTAGGGTTCTTCCACTCTTCTCCTTCCTTCCACGAGCGCGAGCAGCGATCTTTTGCGCTACTCCACTCCTACCGCGTGTGTGTGATCTTGGGGATTCCTGGCAAGAAGCCCAGCCCAGGATCGTTAAATGCAGGCAAAGATCTCCGAGCGTTTGCGACTCGGGTTTGGATTTGGGGCCATCGACCATCGCCACGCTCGGCAAAAGGGGGGATTTGGATCGATCGCGGGCGTGGGCGGTGCTCGTTCTTGATGATCGGAAAGTGGGTCGCCCCCAAATCACCGTCCGCGAAATGGGTCTCGACGAGCAGGAGGAAACGCTGCGCAAGCATCACCCCGAGGTTCCATCGCACTTCAAGTGCCCGATCTCGCTGTGCCTCATGGCCGATCCCGTGAGCGTGTGCACGGGCATCACCTACGATCGCTCCAGCATCGAGAAGTGGTTCCAGGAGGGCCGCCGGACGTGCCCCGTGACGATGCAGGAGCTCCACTCCCACGAGCTCATCCCCAATCACACGCTCCAGAGGATCATCCACGGCTGGTGCGCCGCGAATCGATTCCAGAGTGGCGCACGGGGCGATCGCGAGCAGCCCATGGATCTCCGCGAGGCGCAAGTGCTCGTCGCCCAGCTGCGAATCCCCCGCTCGCGCCCCGAGGCGGTGAAGCGATTGATCGCGAGGAGCCAGGAGGAGAGGAGCAAGAAGCTCTTGATCCGGGCGGGGCTAGCGCCAGTGCTGGTATCGTCCTTCTCGGAGGATCAAGGCCAAGAGCAAGACGAGGAAGACTCGCAAGCCCAGATCCTCTCCCTCCTCCCGCCGCTCATCGCGAATCTCGACGAGCCCTCTCGCAAGGAGCTACTCTCCCCGCGCAATCTCGCCGCCATCGCCCGGCTCCTCCAGAGGGGCGATCTCCACACGCGGGTCTCGGCGGCGGCGCTGATCGAGGAGCTGTGCTGCGCGGACAAGGAGGCGCGCGGCGCGGTCGGCGCCACCGCGGGGATCTTCGAGGGATTGGTGCGCCTGGTGGGTGAAGATCACTCCCAGCGGCGCCACCGCCCAGCGATCCGGGGGAGCCTCCGCGCGGTGCTGGCGGTGTGCCCGCCGCTCAAGAACAGGGTCCGGCTGGTGGAGACGGGCGTGGTGGCGCCGCTGGCGGAGCTTCTCGTGGAGGCGGACAAGGTGACCACCGAGGCGATCCTGGCGGCGCTGGAATGCCTGTGTGGCTGCGCCGAGGGGCGTGCGGCGGTGGCGCGGCACGCGCTGGCGGTCCCGGCGGTGGCGCGGAAGCTGTTCAAGGTGTCGGATATGGCGACCGAGTACGCGATCGATGTGCTGTGGGCGGTTTGCAAGTATTGCCCGGATGAGATCGTCAAGAGGAGGATGGTGGAGGTGGGTTTGTTCCCCAAGCTCTTCTTCTTCCTCCAGATAGGGTGTAATCCAAGGACCAAGCACAAGGCCGGGGATCTGCTCAAGCTTCTTCACAGGGCTTACAGGGAATGCATCGATGGGAGTGGCAGCAACAACGATGGCGCTGGCGGTGATAGCGGCAAGAACAGGAACAAGGAAGACAACACTTGCCTCCTCACAGCTGCCGCGTGATCTTCTTCCTCTCTTTTGCTCGATTCGATTGCAGGAGTTTGCGAAGATCAAAGTTTTGGGGGGCCGTGGTTTTTTACTTTTGATCTTCATGGGCTCGAAGAACACAAGAGGAAGGTCGATTGTGGCTGGAGCTGTGTACATAGGTGGGGGGATCACATTGTTTGTGATTGCAAGGAGCTTCAAAAAATTTTGGTGATGGAGCAGGTTTTCTGGATGGGATTCCTGTGCTTTCTTTTTCTCCTTTGTATAAAAAGAGGATGGTGAACAAGATTTTTCAGTGGGCTGGCGGTGCCCTTTGAGAACGTATGAATCAATCAATCAATCATTCACAAGCAAGCAAGTGTGTTTTGTTTGGTTGTGGTGGGGATTTTTAGGGTTCTTGGCTTTTTGTCAACTTCCCTGCCCCAAGTCAATTGTGTTCTTGTGGGGGCTGTACAGTACAGGAAATTTCCAGCCAGGCAGCTGGTGGGGGATTGAATAACATCATGGAGAAGTGGTACAGTATACATACAACACAGGAAAAAAAAATATACATGTTGAGAATGGTGTGTTGGGAGGTGGTGTTGACTTTATGTAGAATAAGAATTGATGATGTCCATTTGACAACCCCCATTTTGTACTGGTCCAAGAAAATGTGAGGTGCTGGCCTGCAGTGCTGCTGTCTGACTGGTGGTGCCTTTCATGCCTGTCATATACCACCTTTTTCCAAGAAAAGAAAAAGGAAAATAAAGAAAGGGGAGGCAAAATAGTTAGGGCTGACTGACCAACCACCCATGAGCATTATGATTATTCTATTCCTGTTGGAGGCATTCATTGAGTTTTTGCTCTCTGCTAAGTTGGCCAGCCAGCCACCCAACCACATTCATTCTAGACCTGGCATATTCCCTCTAGTTTGAAATGTTTCAGGAGGGCAAAAGGCAGCACAAGCAGGTTTTTGTGCTGGTCTTATAGTGTTGTAAAAAGAAGTGGGGGAGACTTTTGGGAGTGGCCAACTCAGCTTGGAATAGATGTGTCAATTTCAAAGTGTGCAGAGAGAGCTTGAATTGGAGCAATTCACTAGTTGAAAGCTGGAAGAAATTGGTGACAGGATATGCCTGGTGGCTGGACAAATCAGCTATGTGTGTATGAGTGGGACTGAACTTCTTTGATTATCATTGCAAGTTGCTTTGTTTTGGGATTAAGTACCTGTTCTTTGCTTTTGTGGAATGGATGATCATCACTGATCAGCATCACCCTCTCAGTGGATAATTCATGAATGAGGAGGACATGCCTACAAAACTTAGGAGAAAGCACTAATCTAAGCATGATGAGTAGTGTTCTCTTGTACAATGATACATCATGTCAAAAAGGATATTCGTACTCGCGCCGGTCAACTCGTGCTCGATCGTGCTGCTGCTGAAATCAACACAAGCAATACCACCAGATTTAGTGGGATGATGAATCGAACATTTCCAATTTCGTCCCTGGATTTTGTACTGATTTACCTACAAATATGGCGGCAAACAGGGAAAAGCAGCAGCGCTGTTGAGATCTCGCGCATTGAATGGAGACCCTGGAGCAGCAAAAGAGAAAAGAGACAAAGTCATGCATAAACACCGAAACTTTGTGAGTCATGAATCGATTGAGTACAATTGGCTGATAGAAAAATCTGGAGAAATTGGCGGAAACGGGCGTTTTTGTGCTGGACCAACATGAAAGCAATGGGCCGAAGGACAGAACCTCGGTGGGTGTTGCATCTTAATCCGCTCAAAAGAGAGGGAGACAACTCTTAACCCTCTGGGAAGAACAAAGATTTAGAAATCCAAGCATTGATTTGTGTAGCATGGATTGACACAGGAAACCCTCGGCGATCACTCAACACACATTATGCTTGCTTGACTTTCCGGAAAGTTTCCCATCAGTCCTTTTCCTCCGCGGTAGTGGACCGGGTACAAAGCAAAACCATATGTAAAGAGGCAACGAGCCCACACGCACACAGTGCTGGAAAGCTTAGCTTAGCTCTCATATAGCTATAGTATAGAGCCTCTTTTACATGTAGCGGAGCTTCGGAGCTTTAGTCACCATCTTCAGGTTGGAACAAAGAGGTCATGGCCCATGCATGAACACCTGAGTTTGAACCTCAAGCTATCACTGTTACTGGATCGTGAAGTTTTCCACCATCGCACGCACAGAGAGAGAGACACACACAGAGAGAGAGAGAGAGAGATGCTTTTACCAGGCAATAAGTTTGATTGAATGATCTCCCAGAGTGATGGCAAGACGTTTTAGTATGTGGTCACACAGTGCAGAGTTTCTTAAGATTTAGTATGATCTTACCAGAAGTGTTAGAGTCGATGATATAAACTTATCACAGTGTTGACAAGATGTTTTAGAATCATGTTATCACAGTGTTGACAAGAACTTTTAAAACCGATGTGATCACAGTGTTGACAATGGAGAGGGGATTACTATTGAAAAGTAGGTTTAGAATACTCTTCTCACAGTGTTGACAATGGGCTGTGTGATCGTTGAAGTTCAGGATGTTTCAGCTTTGAACGTGGGGGAGATGGCCGTTTTTTCTGCTGCTGGCCAGCAAAGTCAGTCAATCAGCCGCAAAGTTTACTCTTTCTTTCCGCTCTATTGCTTGCTTTAAAGACGAGTTTTGGTCGTCGTCGTGTTGCATCAGCGGCCACTTAGCGCGGGGTCAATGGGGGGTTTTGATTGGGACCGCCGTGTACATTAAACACTGCAAATCCAAGGAATCTTGACTTAAAAACAGCAAACAGCCCCCAAGAGCAAGTACTAAATGCGTGATCAGCAGCGAGTTCGTTTAGAATTGAAACGTTCAAACAATCCCGAGAAAAGAAAGTTTCCCCCAAATTCCTCTTCTTCCTCCCCGGAGGTACTTTTGCCCGTTTGGAATGGAATGGAAGAATGGAATGGCGGTGTGTTTAAGTTTACGCCGCGGAAGTTCCTCTAAAGGAGACTTTGGACGCGGATTTGACGAAGCGCAAAATCACAGGGGGCAATTGCGTGTGGCAACGTGTGTAGCCCATCCATCCACGTATAAATACTTAACAGTAGGTTACAACAACTAGCAGGACAAACAGTCCACTCTCCAAGAACACGAAGTGGAGAACTGGAAGGCGAAGAGGGCGGTGGAAGGGGAATTGGAACGGACGATCGGAGGTTAGAGTCGACTGGGGGGCCGGATTGGGTCGCAGGATCTGCAAGAGTTGATTGATCTTGGGGCCGCCCAGCAGTTCGATTTGCATGGCGACCACCATTCCCCCCCTGTTTAGGTGCCCAATCTCGCTGGAGCTCATGCGAGATCCTGTGACGCTGTGCACGGGGATCACATACGAGCGCAAGAGCATCGAGAAGTGGATCGCCGATGGGAATTCGACGTGCCCGGCGACAATGCAGAGTATGCCCAGCACGGACCTTGTGCCCAATCTCACACTCCGGAGCTTGATCCACTCGTTTCGCAGCTCGCTGACCAAGGACGGCCGGCAAGAGGAGGAGGGCTGTGAAATTCTAGGAGCAGTGACGATCCGGAGACTGTGTAGCTCGTCAATTGGACTAGCGCAGGAGCTCCGGAGCGTGAGGAAGAGCTTGATCAAGCAGCAGCAGAAGATGAGCCCTCAATTGCGAGAGGATTTGATGGCAGCGGTCATGGCGGTGCTGGAATCGCCATCCAGCAGCAGCGAGATTGTCGAGGAGGCACTGGGCACTATCTTGTTCTTGATGCCCACCACCTCCTCCAAGAACGCCGACGATCACGACACACTGACCCGGCTGGCGCGATCATCCACTGCAATTCTCTTGTCTCGCAGCTCCAGCACGGAGGCCCGGATAAACGCCGCTTCGATCGTCGAGAAACTCGCCAGCGCCGACTGCGATCTCAAGCTCCAACTGGGCTCTAGCCAGCCCCTTCTCGTCGCGCTCGTCGGGATGCTCGCGAGCGAATCATCCACCACGGGCAAGGGGAGGAGGAATTCGATGCCCCGCGCGGGGCTCGAGGCGATGCGATCGCTCCTGGAGCTCCGGAGGAACAGGGCCCGGCTCGTCGCGCTGGGTGCCGTACACCGGGTCATTGAGCTCTTACCCGAGCTGGGCAGCCGGTCATGTACGGAACTCGGACTGTCTGTGCTTGAGCTCCTGTGCCGGAGCGCCGAGGGGAGGGATTCCTTCGCGGGCCACGAGCTGGGGATGTTCGCGGTGGCCAAGAAGATGTTCCGGGTCTCGACCCTCGCCACCGAGCTCGCAGTCTCGATCATCTGGAGCTTGTGTAAGTTCTCCAGCAGCGAGGGATTGATGCGCAAGAGGGCGGTGGATGCGAATACGTTCGAGCGATTGCTGCTGCTGCTTCACGTAGATTGCAGCGCCGCGACTAAGCAGCAGGTGTATGAGCTCCTGAAATTCTTGCGCCAGGCGTATAGCGAGGAGCCGTGCATCATCGCGGCGCCGGATCAGGCACTGCCAGCGGCCGTGGTTCCGATCTATCCGCGGTTTTGAGAGGACGATCCAGCGAGTTTTTGTAGGAGAAAACACATTTTTTTGGATGAGCGATGCGCAGTCTCATTCACTCATGAATGTCGAGAAACAGACAGTGGAATTTGGCAAGCTTTTGGTTTTTTTTCTCTCTCGTGTATGATTCTGTATATCAAATTTGTTGCTTCTTCACCCTCGAGGACTGCCAGATTCGAATTCTCGGCGAGAGGAATTTGTTTTTTCGTTTGTTCGTGCGTGCGTGCGTGCGTGCGTGCGGCGGTGAGAGCGAATTGGAGAAGAAAAAAGAGATTTTGATGGATGGATGGATCGACCAATGGATGGAAAAAGGAGGGAGACGATATTGTTGAGGATCAAGGAAAGAGTAAAATAATGGTGGTGATGTTGAGAATCTCTCCGGCTTGTTAGTGTTTTAGGAAAGCATGCTCATCCTCATCCACTTTGTGATGTGCTGCGCATTGAGCTGGATGATTGAATCGTAGACGAGGTCGTCGAATATCGCAGTGTCAACTTGGATGCAAACTTGCGCCAGGCACTTTGCGCAGCACTGCTGGCGATGGTGGCGATGGTGGTGGTGGCTCCAGTGATCTACGCAGACGTGCATCGACGAGTCATGCTCGTCGTCAAAAGCACTAAAAAATGGAGCCTTGAAGACCCCGAGGCTCGGCAGCTCTGGCAACGGTTGTTTCCGAATCATCGCCGGCTTGTCCGGCTGCGAAATCTTCGACGCGTCGCGGAATTTGTCAGGCTCCACATTTCTGACTTGTTGATCTGTGCAAAACAACGAAAGCGAGGAGAGGAATGAAGACCGAGACTTTTGGAACTTGAAGAACAAACTGTGGAAAGCTCGCTACCTGGAGATGGCTTGACTGCGGCGGCCACGTCGCAGTGGTGGAGATCTTCGTCCTCATCTTCGTACGAGACTGGGCGCTCGAGCACCGAGACTGGGCTCCAATTCTCAAACGCATCCACACTTGGTTTTGTTGACGAGCGGAGGTCAGAGCCTGGAGCAGCAGCAGTACTTGTCTGGCGAAAGAAAAAAGAAAAAAATGTGAGAAGTTCATTAGAAAAAGTAGATCATCGTAAGTGAGACCATCGAGAAACAAAGAAAAACAAAGGAAAGGTGGGAAGAACCATGAGAACAAGGTGGCGCGCGATCGATCGCAAAGTACTCTCAAACAAAGAAGAACGAATACCAACGAGAAAGAAGAAAAGAAATCTTTTGATCGATTACAAGTACAAAGAAGCAGAACAAACAAAACCAAAGAGAAAATTCACACAAACCTGGAGCTCGATCGATTGTAAGGTACTATGAAACAAAGAAGAACGAATACCAACAAGAAAGAACGCAAGGAAAGAAAAGAAAGCTTTTGATCAATCGCAAGTACCAAGAAGCAAGAACAAACAAAACCAAAGAGAAAAATTCACACAAACCTCTGTGCCTGGATCGTACTGTCGGAAGCTTTTCTCGCAGCTCTCTTGCGAGATTGTCACATTTCCCAAATCGCCACCATCGCTGTCCACTCTCGAGCTCACCGCCGCCGCCGCCGCCACTTCGCGCTTCTTTCTCTCTCGCAAGGTAAGCAATGCGGCTCTGCTTTCACTTTGGTCCCTTCTAGGGCTCCATTCGTTTGAAATTTTTTTGTTCTTGGCGGGCGTCTCGCTAGGTTTTGGAGTGCCAGGCGCGGCGCCGACGATCCGATGGCGCTGGTGCCGCTGGCCCCGCGCGGAGCTCGCGATCGTCGGCCTCATCAAGCTGGATCGCGAAACGGTATGGATTCTCTTCTCCGTAGCTGGAATCGTTGGAAGGAAAATTTTCGCGTCTTCTTGGTTTGCGTTCCTGTGATTAGCTGGTGTCTTTGTCGCCTGCGTGCTTCTAGCGCTGCCGCCTCTGCAATCGGCAGCGCTGGGAACTTTTTTTTCTCTGTTGGTGGTGAAAGATTGCTTTGGACGCTTGCTGCCAGTGCTAGTAGCTCCAACTTGCATGATGCTGCTACTGTGTCGTGGTGCCTGCGTTGTCTTGAGGACGAGGATGGAAATTCTGGCCTGGGAATCAGTGCTCTGGGAAATCTTTTGATGGTGATGGTGAGGGCCTGGTTTGGACTTTTTGGATAGCTGTTTGGCTCCTGGCCTTGCTCTGAGCTCCTCCAGCTTGAGGAGCTCCTCGAAAAGAGACTTTTGTCCTCCCAAGTTAGAATCCCCAGGCGTGCGTTCTTCGACGGGGTGCTGCTGTGGATTGATGTCACTGTCATGTGCTCTGCAGTGCTGCTGCTGCTTGAGTGATTCCGATATCTGAAGCCTCTCCAGCCTTTCCACGACCTTTTGAAACGAAGCTTGCTGCTGCATGGTGGAGATCACATCTTGCTTGGCCTTGGGAAAGTTTTGACTTTTCTGCTGCTGCTGCTGCTGCTGCTGGCTTCTCTCTGGCGAGCTGTCGGTTTTTACGCCGGGGCCAAGCACTGGTACGTTGCTTTCGGCTTGAACTGTGGTGACGCTGACATTGGTTTTCTCCCCTTTTGAAGCAAGCTCATCTTTAAAAAAGTCTTCAAGCTTGCGGCATGGTCCGTCCAGATGAGTGTCGCTCAGACCCATCAGCCGTGCGACAACGTTTGTTCGCTGCTGCTGCTGCTGCTGCTGCTGCGAGTTCTGATACGTTTTTGACAGCATGCCAACGTCGAAGGACCTTCGAGGTGGCTCGTAAGATGGAGGATCATCTGGGGGGTCGCTTGTTCCGAGGAGAATTCGACCGTCAAGAGAACGACGGGGTGGTTCCTTTAACTTGAACTCGCTGATACCGTCGCAGGAGAACCTTGGAGGATCTAGACCGGTTTTGCTTCTGTCCTTGACGAGGTCGGTACCATCTTGTGCCAATTTCCTGTTTAAACCGCTCTTGGTTTTCTCGAACAGCCTGAACGAGTCTCTCAATTTGGAGAGAGTGGACCGTCTTGGAGCCGCGGCCCAAGTTCCTCTTGCATCATCGGGAGTGAAAGTGAAGTACCTGTCTTCCGGAGGACTTGCCTTGCTCTTTTGCCGCTGGTTCTTAGGGAGGAGCTTCTCCTTCAGAGCGCGCGCCATTTCTACTCGAGCTTCTTCCGTGCATCGATGAATGTAGGTGTGATTTCTTCCTTGGTTGTTTTCTCTCCTGTCTAGATCACTTACACCTTACCTGACAGTGCGGACAAGGAAATGGCTGCTGAAAGAGCAGCGAGCAGCGAGGCCTGGAAGCCGAGCGGATTGAATTCTTGTCACCAAGATGAAGCCAAGTGGAGCTTTCACAACAGTTAGCTTGGCATTATCTCTGGGCAATTTATTCAGCATGAAGAAATGAGGACGCCTATGATCTACCTAGTGTGTGGAGGATTGGACAGGTTCGCTATTGTCGTATATTTTTCCGTTACATCTCGAGTGATTGTTTGTTTTGAGGTTGGGATTGGGATTAGAAGGGAGCGTCACTTTTCTGTGAATATGTTGCTAGAGGTGGGGGGTGGTCACGGAGTACTCGCACGACACAAAAAAAAGGAGAGGCCAAACTTTGAGGTAGGCAGGCCCGTGAAGAAAGAAGTTAATGAGACTCGAGAGAGGAGAAAAAATCATTGGTTTCAAGCAGTTACAAATGGTTTATAGTACTGCCAATGATGAAAGTTCGAGCTATTTAAAATTAATACCAAATACAGATAAATAGAAAGTATGAATAGATTTATGTACATTTTGATTTTTTATAGCTCTTATGTTCTCACCCTTCCTTAGCTGAGAAGCTGTATAGACATTTATTACATTTATTATATTTATTGTTCAGTAATTATAATAATAGATATAACAATATATTGAGAAAAGTATAATTAAATAATTTGCTAGACATTGTTGCATAATGCTATTTCTATTTATTAATGTAATTGATCAAATGGAAGTTTATAATTATAAACATGTGTATAATTTATAAACACATAGATGGTAGAATAAACTAGAATATACTAGGAAGTGTTTAGGACAGTTTATAAATTATGAACATATTTATAAATTAAAAATATTGAATAATTAGATGGTAAAAAATTCTAGAATATTCAAGCATATTTTAGGTATATCCACTACCAATGCTTAAGCAAACCAAAAATTACTGTGCTTTACATATTTGTTCTTAGAATTATTATCAAAAACACACATATGTGTAAATAAATAGACTAGGATATTCTAGAATTTGTTTTATATTTAGAAATTATTTGTGTTGAACTAGAATGGAAACCAAAGGAGAGAATAGACCTCAAATCGAAAACATTTATAAATGAATCTATTTACAAAAATGTCTGAGTTTCATCTTTTTACTCCTCAGCAACAGCTCCAAGTTTGATAACCTTCTCTCAGTTGTGATCCTTGCTTGGACCCGATGGTGCTGTTGGAGTATTCTTGGGAAGCTTTTGGAAAACGTGGCCTTCCAGCAACATCTTCCTGTTGCCCGTCGAATTGATCGCTACTTCACTGTTATTCATTCCAATCCCGAACAAAGATCCACTCACTCCACCATGGCACTCGCAAAGACCCGGAGAGAACATCACCATCATCACGAGGAAAGCAGCCAGCGCCCGAGTAAATCTCGCCATTCCCAAAGAGCCTAGAACGATCTCTCCGGATCCGATCCCTCTAGACGATGATCTTGGCACTGTGATCGCGTTGCCAAAATCTTCAAAACCGGTGATATGTACTCCAATTGAGGAAGAAGGAATCGTTGAGATCGTATTCTTCCTCCTTGAAGACTCTAATGATCGGAAATGATATCGATTCGTATGCTTGGAAGAACCCGTGATTGATCCACTCGAGAGCATGCCCAGCTTTATATTTTGGTTTTTTCACCCAGGAACTGCCATGGAAACGACTCGTGAACGCGCCTACGGCATGACAATGGTTGACTGGCCCTGTTTTCCTGCTTCTAAAGTAGCTGACTCTTGACCATTCAACGTTTTTTTTCCTGGTTTTCCCATATTCGTGCTTTTGAACGTGCACAATTTCAAGTTCAAGCGTTGAAAAACTCGTGGCTATTTTTGACGACGAATCTTTACCCGCTTAAGGTGGCGTGCCGAGCTCTTCACCGCTTAACTAAGAAAATTTACTGTGTCAAATGGGTCGGCTACGCGAAATGCCGGCTATGATTTTGCGGGAAGCCCACGATCTGGGACACCAAAAAGTGGCACTTCCTCGCACCCTTTTTTCCTTTTCAACCCGTTGAAATTTCTAAACTCGAGACCTTGCTGTTCTTGGGTGGAAGTTTTCTCCGGGTAAAACTCTAAACTAGAGAGTTTGGTGCAAGAGTTTCGTGGTAAAATTGCTGGTTGTTGCTTGATCCAGAGCGCAAGAAAACTTATCTCTGGGTGAAAGTAGGGTGACGAATGGTATGTGCTGGCTGGCCTAGGGTCAAAACCGTGTTACATGAACAAACACCTTTAATTGGTGGTGGCGTGGTAGCCAAGTTAGCACTCTTTCGTCTTCCAAGGGGAAATTCTTATCATCGCAGTAGAGTGGTAAGCGCTTTCTTTGCGCTTTCTTTGCTTTGCTTGATCTTCTCTCGCGAATCCTGGGGCGTGGTATAAAACCAAAGTCGTCCATCGATTGATCGATCGAGAGGAAAAGCTCGAGAGAGTCAAGAAGAGATCATCTAGACACGATCATCGAGAGTGGTTTTCATGGCTCCACCGCGTCGTGTTGGAGTGGCTTTGTTGCTGGCTCTTCTCCTGGTTTCTTCCAGTTGTGTGTGTTCTTCGGCCAGGAATCTCCACGATCGCCACCGGCATCATCACAGCCTGGAAGCGATTCGCGTGGCGGCATCGGGGGCGCTGGATCGATGCACGAGAGCGCTGCGGGAGCTCCATGCGGGATGGAACGGGAGAAGCAAGTTCTTCGATGATCCTCCTCCTTCGGGGCCAAATCCTGGAGGAAATTGAGAAATACTTTGACAAGAATCTCCAAAGTCTTGCATTTTTGCTGAGGGAAGAACACGTACACACACACACACACACCAAAGGAGAGTTTTATTTTTGTGTTTAGACTTGGTTGGATCTATTCTTTCTGTACATAGTCGTGTCATCGAATTCTTAAACAAATAAAACTGTGTGTTTGAAACTCGGGACTTTTGTTTGTTGCTCTTATCTCATCCACACCTGAATCTTGAGCATGACTTATTCAAATAGTCAACAAATCACGTAGAATCCCAACGCTTTCAAACCTTGGAAAGAAAGCAAAGACAATCACAATGTCAAAAACTACGCGCTGATTTTGCTAAAAGTCATCGATCAACAGCCAAAAACCATGACTCCAACTACGAACACCAAAACAGTATGAAAACAAAGCTTATTATTACTCGAGCGAAGAAGACGAGTTTTTGGAAGTAGAAGGTTTGGTACTTCTTTGGAGGAAGACTCTCAAAGTTGGAAGAAAGAATGCAAAGGATCCAGAGAAAAAACTATTTGACAACTTTGTAGATCTGAGCCAACGCGTGTAACACATTGTCTTGTCTCGCAAAGACTCTGAAAAGTATTGAGCACAAAGCACTAACCAAGCCGGGTCGTAGCAACAGCGCCAGAGAAGAATTTTAGCAAACTAGAATTGACAAACTCACCACCATCGCGTAATTTCAACCATTGCGGCAAACACATTGCCTTCGTCCACCTCGGCTGCTAGAAAAACAAAACATCCCTCTCCAGAGAAAAGAGCGTCAGAGTTCTTCTCAGGATGGTACCTCGGGTTTTGATGTTGCTCTGGTGCTTGATGGTGATGCCGATCTTTGCCAGGGACCAGGCCGGGACGATGGATCACGAGAACCTCGTCACGTTTAACCGGCTGCCCAAGAACATCCAAGTTCCTCCCTCCAGTCCCAGTCCCCGTGGCAATCAAGTCGTTTTCAGCTACGAAAAGCCCGACGTCTCGGCAAATGCTCCAGTTGGATCCTAATGCTGGTCACGTAAAGCACAATGGAATCGACGTGAGCACGAAGCAAGTAAACAATACCTCCCGACACACCTGGGAGAAAGAACAAAAGTTTTCTTTTCAAGCAAGATAGATGATGTATACCTGGCAAAGTGAATTTTAGACGTAAAACTAGGTGCTTTCTTCGCTTGATGCAGTGCAAGGTGGAAGAGGTGCGTCGCAAAGGCCGGGGTTTCCCATAAACGCCGAAGCCGAGAACCTCCCAACCTGCGGGATCTGGCCATGCAGACGATTGTTGGAGACGTTGAAGTATCTGAGCTCCGGCAGTGCCATGATCTTCATAGGAATCACTCCGGATAGCTGGTTGTCCGAGAAGTCCAAGTTGGACAAGCCCGAGCTGCCAGCCAGCGCTTCCGGGATCTGGCCGGACATTGCATTCCGCGAGACGTCGAGAGAAACAAGCTTGTCCAGGCTAGCCAGCGACGTCGGGATGTCTCCTCTAAACCGGTTGTCGGACAAGGTTGCGAACTGGAGTTTTTTCAAGGAGCCGAACACGTCTGGAATGAAGTCCCTGAGCCGGTTTCCAAAGAGTGCCAGAGTTTCCAGCTCCACCAAGTTCTTGAGCGATTCCGGAATGGCACCCCTGAGCCTGTTGCTGTGGAGGACGAGCATCTCGAGGGACGTCAAGGCACCTATAGTCGACGGCAGAATTCCATTGAGCTGGTTGCTGTAGAGGTTGAGGATTCGGAGCTTGGTGAGATTCCCTATAGAGCTCGGAATGCCACCTCTGAACTGGTTGTCGTAAGCCTCGAACGTCTCCAGCGCGGTAAGTCCACCCAGGGACTCGGGGAGAGTCCCCTTGAGAGAGTTCCCGTAAACTCGAAAGTGTTCCAAAGCTTTCAAGTTGCCAATGGATGCCGGGAGGCTGCCGGTGAAGCGGTTGTCGGAGAGATCCAGCACTCTCAGCCTCGAAAGACGTCCTATCGAAGATGGTATCTCCCCGTCCAGCTGATTAATCTGGAGCTCCAAAACTTCCAGCCGCTCGAGGCTCCCAATCTCGGCGGGCAAGCTCCCGTTGAGCTTGCTGAAGTATACGTTGAGTGACTTGAGCTTTGTGAGCTTCCCAACGGAGCTGGAGATGGTCCCCTTGAAGAAGCAATTCCGGAGGTAGAGCTCGACAATGTGACCGGTGTCGGGGTCACAAGTTACCCTGGACCACTTGCAACAGTCCGCCGAAGAAGCCCTCCATGAAACCAGACACATTGTTGGGTCCTCCGTGATCTGCGCCTTGACTTTGAGCAGGGCATCCTTCTCGGCAGCAATGCATCCCTGTGCAAAGTCGATGTACCAGTGACTCCAGAGCAGCGAAGCCGCAATGACGAAGAGCGAAACCATTCTCAGCGGCTGGAAGAGCGCTTCACCTGGCCAAAAAAAATCCCACATTGAATGTATACGAATCATGGAGAGAAGAGAACTTGCTTACACTTCCGCCGAGATCTTTGCTCCGCCAAAGAACGAAAGGAAGCTCCTGGAAAAAAACCAAAGCTCACATCAATGTAAAAGACCAGCTCACGACGTAAAAGGAGTGATTAGAGTACGAAAAGCGGCAACCACTACACTCCGGAAAACTTCCCCTGTAAGAAAGCAAGTCGCTGTTCTAGTCCCACACGTCCAGCAAGGATTGGTTGATCCAAACTCCACTAATGCGTGACCAACCAGTTCTCGTCCTTGTATCCATTTCGTGACCAGCCAGCCAGCTATCCAGCCCGTGAAATTCTATGCGCACTCGAAGCTCTGAGACGCCTCCTCAAATGCTGACGATCCTTCCATTAGCCTGGGTTGCTGCCACTTATGCTGTGGTGCCGTATCAATCTCTAGAAGCTCCATCTTGCGACCCAGTAATGCTTCCGTAAATTCGTCCTGGTACTGCACTCGACCGGTCACTGCCGCCGTGCTTGTGGAGGCTGCCTTGCTCTTGTTTGCTCTATCTCTGGACGATTCGGTGTTGACATAGACCGGAAGCTCTCGAACGTCAGGACTTGCTTTCACGCGGAAAGTTTTCTCCCGGTCATGCGCTGTTGCCAAACTCGCTGAATTGCTGCTTCCAACCACTGTTGCTTCTTCTGGTCCACCAGCCATGACAACCTGTGAAAGAAGAAAAAACAGAAGTAAAAGTCGTTACAATCCGTGTCGCTATTCCCAATACAATACAAACCTTGCGGCCCAAGAGATCAATTGTCACAACGACTCGCTTTTTGCGTTCCTCCTCTGCCATCTCAAACTCCTTTTGCTTTTTCCTCAGTAGCTGCTTTTCCTGCTCCATAAAACGCGTAAGTTTTTTGTCAAGAGAGCAAGAGCACTTACCTGCTCTGACACCCAAGAATCACCCTCGATCTCAAAAAAGTCGCTCTGGTCGTCAATGACAGTCGTGCGAGAAGCCGAGTTTCGATCGTACTCCACCAATCTGTCCTTGAACGCTTGCGCGGCAGCCTCGGCCTCCGAAGTTGGCAACAGACTTCCCTCCAGACCAGCATAGGCACTGCCTTCTTTCAGCACGAGAGCACCGCAAAAGCTGCATGGCCCTTCACCCTCTTGCTGGCAGACGATCTTCCCACACGACAAACAATTATTCACGAGCTCGTGCCGCGTTGCTTGGCAGTCACAAGGCTTTCCGGGATTGAGGATCATCTTGCTCGCCTCCGCCACTGTCACTCCCTTTTTTGCTCTTCCAGAGGAAGCTTTTTCTCTTCTAGACGATGCAGCCTTTGTGGAAGAAGTTGGAGCGGCAGCGGCAGCAGCAGGATTTGCCTCGCGACCGCTAGCGACTTTTTGCTTTCCAGCTCGAGAAGCATTCTTCCCCCCGGCCGACCACGTCGATTCTTCCTGAGGCTTTTGATATGCTTGCAATGGCGTACCGGTGCTGGATTTGATCGTGGTTGGCGGTGTGGTCCTCCGTTTTAAATACTCCTCGACGATTTCCACGCACAATTCGTGTCCGACAATGTTCTGCCAGCAAAATCAATGAGAAGGCAATGCCGCATTTCTTCCCTGGAGATGGGAAACAGGGAATTCACAAAGGAAAGGAACTTACAACGATGTATTCCGCGGCGTCGGCGGGCGTGGCGAGCTCGCAGTAGCAAACCAGACTGGCGACGGTGTCGGAATCGAGCTGGAGGCCCAACGCCGCTTGATCGGAGCAGACGCGCATCAGCGCCGAGTGGAGCCATGCGCTGGAGCTCTCCTCGTCCGCCATCGCCTTCTCCACGAGCCCTAAAACTCCTAAAACCCCGGCTTAATTACTTAGAATTAAGCACGTGGGTTTTACTGTTTTAAAACCTCGTCATCTCGCCGGCGCCTGTAGCTCAGTGGATAGAGCGTCTGTTTCCTAAGCAGAAGGTCACAGGTTCGACCCCTGTCTGGCGCGAGGAATGCCTTTTAGGGCTTTTGGATCTTTTTAGGTCTTCTACGTGACGACACGTGGCAGATTAGGGGTTTTTTTTTTTTCCTTCTTTGAAAGAATGGCTTCTTTGGCGAGCGCTGTGGCGATGGCAATGCGAGTGCCGCGATCGTGTCCAAGGGCGGCATTTGGCGACCGGCGCTCTTCTCTGCTCGTAGCGCTCTCACTCACTGCTGCGTCCAAAACGAGGCAAGGTATGTAATGGAAGATTTCTCGCTCAAATTGTCAAGTATGGCGCTGCTAGTCCAGGAATCGAGAGGCTTTTCGCCGATAGCATCAAGCAACTGGATTCGTCGCTGGCCAGGGTCTCACAGGCAAGGAATATGGAGGAAGCTTTGATGACTGGTTTTTTTCTTTTTCTTTTTCGTTTTCTTAGCTCTCTCACTTGATTAAGTTGGTAACGTTTGTATTCTTTTTAGTGCCTGATCTGGAGACTATTCCATACCGGGTGATCAGTCGGCATTATGGCTATGAGATTCGCCAAGTCGAGGTGAGAGTCTTTCTTTCTTTCTGCTATAAATTATCGTTGGCTTGCAGTCATATCTTGTTGCCGAAACGAGCATGCCTGGAAAAAAAGGTTTTGAGTTCTTTGGCTCGTCGCAGGCGTTCAATACAATTGCAACGTACATATTTGGGAAGGCTAGCACCTTTTTTGCTAAAGCCAAGAGCTTTCAATCAAATTATTTACTCTTTTTCTCTTCGTTTTCTCTTAGAACACTAAGCAGCAGGAAATGGCAATGACGACTCCTGTGCTTGTCAAGAACGAGTCCATCAAGCTGGAAATGACAACCCCTGTTGTCTCAACACAGGTACTACACGTTTTTGTTTCTATGTTTCGTTTCGTCTCCCTGTTTATACTAAAGTTCTGTTGATCTACACACAGGAAGCCGAGGATGAATGGAAAATGGCTTTCGTGATGCCGTCAAGCTACACGGAAGAAACTTTGCCTACACCGGAAGACAGCTCGGTGACAATAAGACGTGTGCCAGCGGCCTTGATGGCTGTGACAAGCTTCTCAGGTATTGTGACAAAGATCGAGCTAGTGCTGAAGATCACAGTACTTCTTCAGGACTGGTAAGCGACGAAGAGGTGAGGAAGAGAGAAGAAAAGATGCGGCAGAGCATCAAGCTGGATGGCAAGGTGCGAGTAAAACCTGGTGCTCGAGTAGAGGTGGCTCAGGTTTGTATAGATGAAACTATCGCTGGAGTGGCAATCAACACTGAAAGCTCGTGTGCGCCGTGCAGTATAATCCTCCTTTCACTCCGCCGATGTTCCGGCGCAACGAAGTGGCTCTCGAAGTGGAAGAAATACAAGATTGAGGTGATTAATACTCAAGAGCTTTTGCCTAATGCGCCTGTAGCTCAGTGGATAGAGCGTCTGTTTCCTAAGCAGAAGGCCACAGGTTCGACCCCTGTCTGGTGCGTGGTATATTTTCTTCCTCTCAGCTGGAGGTACTCCCAATCAAAAGTATTTTCCTAATCTCTTGAGTTGTTTGACGAGCAGGGAATCTAGAGTGACAAAATCGCTGTTGACAAAGAAAACTTGCTGCACCAGACTGCTCCAGACTGCTCCAGACGACTCCAGACCGCTCTATCTAGCTGATGTTTCGCCTTCCAGCACAGTTCTCTTTCTTTTTCCTTTTATTCTCCTTTTTTCTTGTTTCAGTGCTCGTTGCACAACAGCTGTTGTGTTTACGATCGCTGTTGCGGTTGCTGCTGGTTCCAGTAATATTTTCTTTTTCTATCGCATGAAGCTTAAAACTAGTTATCTATCTTTTCTTCTTTCCAGGGTGAAGACGCGGTCCACGATTTCTCCTGTCAAGCTACTAAAGAAAAGAAATATCACTGAACAACAAGACAAGGTTTCAGGGAGGTACGCCGCGCTCATTGGTCGATTGAATCTGGCTTTTCAGCTTGTCTTTCATCAGGAAAAGGGACAAAGAAGATCGAGCGTGAAGAAATCAAAGAAAACAGGGGTGAGTATCGCTCGATTGATTTAACGTGATTTCGACCACAGAAAATACGTACAAAACGAGAGGAGCTTGGTCCTTGTTTAAGAAACAATATGAACACTCTTTCCCGAACATGAGAGATCTGGAAGAAGACGGCACGATCCATTTGACAGATTTTTAATAATGCTGCAGAGAAACTTGTGCGGATCAAGCGATGATGGAAATTCTATTCTATGGTTCGTGATCACTTTGGACAAAATGGTACTCGTTTCCTCTCGGGCATTTCACGACTGACTCAAAAAATGCACGTCTCATCTTTTGTTCTTCAACAGAGAAAAAGGTCTGTAGATTTGTTTCAAGAGGGGCTGCTTGATTACGAAGAAATTTTTTGCCAGGAATTCGTCCAGGAATGTTTTTGTTTTCCAGCGAAGCGCTCGAAGTTCTTCAATTTTATTACGTACAACATGTGGAGATCACGTCGCCCGCCATTGATATGCGTGATTTTAATTCTTCAAAGAAGGAAGGTTTATCCATGCGAGGAATTTCTCTTCCGGGAAAAAAAGGTGGTGCTCGTTTTGCTATAAGGAAGATGGGTATGGAGTAGTGACTGTGTGTCTTTTATTTGCTAAAGGAACTTGCACTTTACTTATTCATGGAAAAAATCTCTCTTTTTGCTAATTTCACTTTTTTTCTTGGATTGGAGCAACAAATAGCAGAGCTCTCAGGGGAAAGTAGGAAAAAAAATTCGTCGAGAGAGGATTGTGATCAGAGAGCTACAGTGCTGCTAGCACTCAATCACATTTTGACAGAACGATCATCCAGCATTGCCTGGACGAAGAAGAAGAGGTCGAGGAAGAAGAAGAAGGAATGAAGATCACTCATCCCAGAGCTTTAATTCTTTCCAGTGCTCTCTAGAGAGGATCAAGAGAGAAGTTCATATTGTCGTGTGTGTGTGTACGAGTGCTTCTTTCCCTCTTCTGACGAGCAATTGCGTGTTTGCTATCAGAAATGACAGGTTTTACACCGCAAATGTGATAAGGCCTGTTCTTCCCTCGCGGCCTTGCTCGCGAGAAACGAATGGATTTTGAGCTCCTTTTTCGTGGACCATCTCCGTCCTAGAAGCTTTTTGGAGCTGCTGGTGTTGTGATTGGTTGATGCCAAGATGTTCCATCCATCAATCTTTCGTTTTTCCTTCCTCTCCTCTCTGGCACATCTTTGTCACATCTTTGTCACACTTGACACAACGCTTAGTCCTTTGCAGCAAGCATATTTTGTTTTGTGAGGGGTAGCATGCCAGGCCTTACCAAAGGTTGGTTTTTTTAATTCTTTCTCCGCTCTCCTCTCGTTTTCTCCTTCCCTGCGAGCAAATTCTTTTAGATATGCACCAAGGTAGAAGCAAACCATGCAAGAAGAAGAGAAAGAACACAGCCCTTCCTGGCGAGAACAAGTTCATGAAGTTGAGGTTCACGGTGGTGGTGGCGGACAAGACTTTCTTGGCCTTTCTCGTGCTCATGGCTATGGTTTCTAGCACCGCCTCCAAGACCATTCAAATCAGTGACGATGGAAGCCATGACAATCTTTCACTTCCAAGTCCAAATGATCCAGGAAAGACTTGGAGCAACAGTGGCGAGCTCACAATTCTGGGCAAAAAACCTGGTTTGGCTGCAAGGTTGATACTACATCCACCAGAGACGAGGTATGGAACTTCTCCCTCTTTTCTTTTCACTCTTTCTCGATCGATCCGAGCGAGCAGCGCGCTCCACATTCTTTCGAATCCTGTGTCCATTGATCCGAGCAGTGCCTCACATTGGGTCTCGTGGGTGCTCCCCAGATTCGCGTTTGGATTCTTCGCCGCGCCTCGCCCGGCGGGAGCGTTCGTCCTCGCGGTGTTCCTCTATCCGCACAGAAGCGCGAGGCACCGGCGACGAGTGTGGTGCGCCAGTGATGACAAGCAAGTGCCCATCCTTGTCGGCGAGAATGCCACGCTCGAGCTCCGCCACAACGCGCTGGTGCTGCTAGATTCGCAACGCAATCCAGTGTGGTCTTCTTCTTCTTCATCTTCATCCTCTTCTTCTTCTTCTTCCGCGACTTCACCACCATTTTCTTCCAATTCTTCCTCTCTGGAGCTTCGCAGCGATGGAAACTTGCTCGTCAAGGACGAGCGCGATGGCAGCGTCGCGTGGGAGAGTTTCCAGCGTCCCGTGGATGTTTTACTCCCTGGGCAGGCTCTCGATCCAGGCATGCAACTGGTAAGACAGGAGAAATCTCATTGCTTGCTTTCTTGCTTGCTCTAAGTCTCTTCCAATTCTTACAAGATTCTTCTCCTATGGTGTCTTGCTTGCTTTCTTGCTTGCTCTAAGTCTCTTCCAATTCTTACAAGATTCTTCTCCTATGGTGTCTTGCTTGCTTAGATTTCTACTTTTCGATTGAAAGATTGAAAGCTACAGTGAGTGTCACCATCTTGGAAAATCGGGAGCTAACTTTAGATCGCTTTGGTGGTGCCACAGGTTAGTGGTCCTTACAGGCTTTCCATGGAATCCACAGGCCTCGTCCTTTACCACGGGACCTCTCAAGTATGGACATGGAGTCTCTGTAGCAACAGGTGCTAGAAATCTTTCCTTTTCTCCTCCATTTTTCTTCTTCTTTGTTGTTCGCTAAAGCTGATCCTCTTTTTTCCGAAGGAGATCTAGCTGCGATCTCTCTGTCCATGCCGAGCTGAGTTCCACTGGACTCCATCTCGTCCATGGACCACCTCCACCAGGAGCTCCACTTTCCTGTAGCTGTGATCCTGGAAGCTACGATCCCATCAAAGTTTTAAGCGGCCACTCGGCCCTGGCGCTTCTTCTCAGTGATGCTGGTGTTGTTCACGTCGACGTCGAGTGCTCCGAGAGTGACTCTCTGGTGTAAGTATCCATCCGTCCGTCCCTCCAAATCCTCTTCTCTTTCTTTCAGCAGCTGGAGCGAACTAGCGAGAGATCTCGTCCAGATAAAAAATCGTAAAGCTGGTGCTGCCTGCAAAGCATTAAAGTTGTCTGTTTTGTCTGTTTTCTTCCATCCAGATTCCGGATAGCTACTTACCTCGCTCGCTTAGTCTTTCCTTACGTAGCCATCATGTCTAATTCTCGTTTTGGTTCTCCCACAGGTCGAGGTCGCAGCGTTTTCTTTCCTCGAGACGCCACAGCTGCCAGCTTTCCGACGGTGAAAGGCCGTGCAGCATTTGTAGCAATGCTTCCAACTGTCGGTGCGCGGCCAACATCGCCACGGAAAACGTCCACAGCTTGCTTGCGATTTCCAAAAATGCTAGCGAGAACTCAGTAAGTTATCAAGAAAGAAAGAAAGAATTTCATCACTAACTTCGTTGCAAAGGTTCATAGTCAAGGACACATGCTTGAAACTCGCCGATCACTCGGAGCTGGAAGATCACTTCTCGCTAGCCTGTCGTTTCGAAAGCAGCCAGCAACACAATCTATCAAGGTATAAAGAGAAAACTTAGCTTACTTTTCTATACGTTGTCTTGTTTCCCAGTATAAAGCAACAGTGGCTCTCTCTGGATTCCTTGGAGCTGCTGCCTTGGCCATTCTTGCGGCGCTGTGTGCCGAGAAGAAGCAGCCAGCGAAGGCACCTCAAGCCAAGCCTTCTTCCAAGCCCGAGATCAAAAACCTCTTCCCATCGGTTATCCCGCAAAAGTTCTCATTCAGCAGCCTCAGAAAGATCACCGAAAACTTTGCCAAGCAGCTGGGTGACGGCGGCTTTGGAGGTGTGTACGAGGGATGCCTCAAGGACGGAAGCAAAGTGGCCGTCAAAGTCCTGGAACAAACCTCAACTCAAGGTGAGAAGGAATTCAAAGCGGAGATGAATACCATGGCTAGCGTCCGTCACGTCAACATACTGCAACTCAGGGGATTCTGTGCCGAAAAGAAGCATCGAGTTCTTGTTTACGACTTTATGCCAAATGGCTCGCTGGATAGATGGTTGTTTTCAGCTCCAGGTACGTGATCTCTGTTTCTTCGCAAGCAAAACGATTCATGTTCTCGTTTTCATGCCCGCAGGAAAAGGAGGTATCCTTGACTGGCCAAAACGTTTTAGCATTGCTGTTGGAACAGCGAAAGGACTAGCGTACCTTCATGAGGAATGCAACCAGCAGATTATTCATTTGGACGTGAAGCCAGAGAACATCCTCCTAGATAACAACTTTGTAGCAAAGGTTAGAAGTCTATTCTTTTCTCAAGTCTTACCTCTGGCGCTGTGTAGGTTGCCGACTTCGGCCTCTCAAAACTGATCGACAGAGACAAAAGCAAGGTCATCACCAACATGAGAGGAACGCCAGGCTACCTTGCTCCAGAATGGATGCATCAGTCCTCCGTCACCACCAAAGCCGATGTCTACAGCTTTGGTATGGTGTTGCTGGAGCTCATCTGTGGACGGGAGACAATCGACTTAACCAAAGGCTCGGAGCAGTGGTACTTACCGGCCTGGGCCGTCCGCATGGTGGAAGAAGGCCGAACACTAGAACTGGTTGACGACCGCCTCCAGGAGGAAATCGAGTACTTTTACGGAGACGATGCGAAGCGGTCAATCCGAACAGCGCTGTGCTGCATTCAAGAGGACCCTGTACAGCGACCGAAGATGAGCAGAATAGTACAAATGCTAGAGGGTGTGGTCGAGCCAAAGATACCTCAACTTAGCAGACTGCCGATTCAGCCAGCAACAGCAGCCTCCAGGATCAAAGATAAACTTGCAGCGCTCGCAAGCGCCATCTCCCAGGAAGAAGGATCGTTACAACCGTTCGGTGGCCCGGTCGGTGATCGTGCCGGTAAGAACGAGTTTGTTTTTTGGCCTCCAGAGTTTCAGAGTTTCTAAAGTGGTTTTTAAAACCAGGGGACGATGTAAGTTTCAACGCCTGGGGTCTCAGTGGCGGGCCTGTGGCTGGACATGCGAGAACGCTACTCAAGGCCAGGAACCAGCCATGCATTCCGCCTTGGCCAGTTAAAGGCGACGTTGTGATTGTCAAAGGGAGTGGAAAAGGTGGGGAGTTTGCTCACGCAGTCATTCGGGACGTCAAGGTTCGGACGCAGCAAGTGAGGCTGGCACTTTTGGAGAAGGTCGCTGACACAAAATGGGTGGTTATGGAGGAGGAATCGTTATGGAGGCAATGGAGCGTAATGCTGAGGACTCTGGAGTTCTGGGTGCCAGTAAAATGGACGACACTTCCCGGGTTTGGCCCTCAGAAGTTCCCAGTCGAGTGGACCTCGGATCAATGCTGAAACACAAGAAGTTCACGTAAGCACTGTATTTTTCGGAAGTAAGTCTTGCTTTACCTTTGTTCTCGCGAGCAACTGTTGTACATCGCTCATTTTTTTTTTCCTTGCTTCTGTTAAGAGAAAAAAAAACTTGTTATATAGTGTTCAATCGCGTTCGTGTTAAATGGAGCGACAGCACAAAAGCAAAACATGCCTGTCACATTGTCGTGCTGTATTCTGCTCAAAGCTGCGTGTTCTTAGCTCCGCCTATCATGCAAAGATGTCAGAACTTTAAAAATTCACGAAATGAAAACAAACCGTCACAGTCGTTGATGGTTTGATCAATATCAGAACTCTTCAGCCCAGGCCTATACTGCTCGAGGTGGTCGAGAAAAGGATAGGATCACTGCAAAAGAAAAAAAAACAGAGAGAGAGAGAGATCCTTATTGTCAGTGCTAAGAGACAAATCCGTCACATGGAAACTCTGAGAAGTTCTTGGTGAGTTCTGCTCGAGATTATCTAGTTCTAGACTAGCTGTTTCTGATAAGCATTTTCGTTCTCGAGCAAGATGCTTTAGCTAGGTCCGTGCTCGTACTGCATAAGTGCAACCAAAAACAAGGAACGAAAGGAAAATCAACCTTGGACACGTGATTTTAGATTGGCCAACGAAAATGTTGACCAAATTGCTTACAAGATGATTCTTCCTAGCTGGCTGAAATGAACAGTTCAGTTAGTTAGGGAATCCCAGAAAGAAAAAAAAAATGAAACTCTGTACCTTCGTGTTAGAGAAAGCTTCGGATGAAGCCGCTCCTTGCCTCCGGCTTGTCTCTCATATCCAGCCGCAGAGGCATGCTCATCTCGACGTGGAAGAAGAGCCCCCTGGGATTGTTCTCGTAGAAAACTTTGGCGTTTACGTTGAGAGTACCACCCAGCTCTTTGACATCCTTTGGGAAGTGAAGGATCACGAACTTCGCCAGCTCTGCTCTCATCCGGGACACGACTCTCTGATACTGCTCGTCATCGCCGACCGAGGCCTGTGATTTGGAGGAGCTGAGTATCATGTCTCCCTTGATCTTGTGAGAGGTCGCGTCGAAGGCATGGAGCTGGATGATTCTCGGCTTCGGGAAGCTTCTCGCCACAGCAGCCGTGAACGAGTTGAAATATGACATGGCTTCTTTGCCAAGGTCGACGTTTCTCCTGTGCGTGGTGTTCCAGGCCGCTGCTATGAAGAGGCTGCTTTCCATGAGCAGCTTGAATGCCACCTTGTGGATGTGAAGATCCGAAGGAGTGTGCATGGCTTGTAGAACGATATTCCCCTGCGGCGTGGCATTTGGCTGGCGTTTCTTCGGAAGAAGCTTCACGACGTAGAAGCCGTTCCCTTGTCCCCTGTGCTTTGGAGACTCTGAGACAACTGCGAACTCCATTTCTCCGTCAACGATTGTTTTCAGAGAGAAGCCCAGGTTGTTCCATATCTTACTTGCTTCGGCCGCGACACTCCGGCTTACCAGGAGCTGCTGAAACAGGTTCTTTGCTGTCTCGAGGTTTGAAAGTGATGGCTTTTCGTAGTAGCCCGCGGTACCTCCGACATAAAAGTTGGAGATTTCGTGTTCCATATGGGATCAAGCAAGAAAGACCTGTGAACAAGAAGTGAGGCCAGAAACAAGGAATCTATTGGCTAGTCCGCAACTCGTTTCGCGACGTCAATGTCTACCATTCTGCAGCAGAGAGAAAAGAGGAAACTTATGTCACAGCGGATGATCTATGCAGGATATTGAATATACCAGACAGGTCGAACAGTATCCCCGAGTGGAGAAATGCGATGCACGCAGTTGAGCATATCCATTGATGCTAGTTGCCTCCAGCATGTTGGTAGAATCCTCTGACTGAAAGAGCACAAACGAAATGAAATTAGGGGAAAACGCAGAGAAGCGAACTTATAACGAGATTCTGCTGACCTCTATCCGGGATTCCAATAATTCAAAAGATTCTCCAGCCCACGTAGCTTATGTGCCAAAGGACACCCACTCAAACGTTTGTGCAGGTCCCCGCCAGCACTAAAGTGATGAAAGTAATAACACGGATAAGGCCCAAGGAAGCACGAACTAGTTGGTCACCTGTAGGAGCATTTCGTCACACAGCATTCAGTTCATAGCAAATCGGAAACAAAGACAGCTTACCTCTCTCGGGAGTATCTGTTTACGTAGTTAGAGAAGTTCTCGAATCTCGATTGAGTACCTTGAGCTATTCGAACCTTCCTTCCATTATTCTTCTTCCAGTTGTACATCTGTTCGAGTGAATCTAGTGCCTCGGGATCTGTAATAACTATCTATTTAAAGAATCGATTTCGAACCTTCTCGTGCCTGTAATGGCACGTCCATCTACTGGCTTCGAACTTGTATCCTTAACCCACCCGCTGATAATCCTGTTCACTTCTTCCGGAACTTCATCATGCGGACAGTGGCCTACGGACGAATCACTTAGCAATTTGCAACGTAAAGAGACAGAACCGTACCAGCATTCACGATGCTCACTGTGATGTCTTTGCAGCATGCTTGTAGAGCCCGAGCTTTTCTAAAGGCGTTTTGCAGCGGATCAAAGATTCCCTAGAGACAATAAGCATATCAGAGAGAGAACATGATCAAAGCTTTATCCACCTGTACAATCAGCGTTTTTCCTTCGTACTGATTAAGCAAAAAGTTAAGAGGCAGAGGCAACCGCAAGTAGAACATGCTTTCGAGTACAGATGTTGCCCCTGGATCAAATGACTGCGTTTTGTCAAAGAAACTGAGAGAAAAAAGAAAAACAAGTATAAATAGAGGATACTGCTCTTAGAGCTTCGCCAAGAATGCACTCGTCAACTCTCTCGCTGTGCTGTGAAATGAGATACAGGAAACTTAAACGAGTGCAAACATTGAAACAGACATTCTTACGGAAGGATAACAAAGCTTGAAAGCCGAAGCACATTGCTGCTGCAGAAAAAAAAGTAGAACTTGTAAGCTTGCCCGAGGAATACCTTTTCTCTTTACAGCCTGTAGATAAATATGTGAATCCAAGTTTGAGCCATGACGATATACTTACTTTAGCGACAAATTCATAATTGGGATCCACAATGCCAGCAGTATTTAGCAGCACAAGCGACTTTACTAAAGAAGACCAAAAGCCAGCTACCATAGTTGCGATATATCCTGCACATTCATAGTTAATCAGGAAGTTCAGCATTTAAAAAAATACTACCTCCCAAAGAATTTCCCACAAGTACAACAGGTTCGCCAACAACCTCGACGATAAAATCTCTCAGGAGCTCAGCCCACAATAGCTCTGTATAAATAATGCCTGGTTTTTCTGATCTTCCAAAACCCAGCATTGTAATGGCCCAGACTCGGTTTTTATTCCCTGCGAGCTCTCTGATGTTGTCCCGATAATGCTGCCAAAAAGCTCCAAAGCCGTGAACTAAGACCACCGCGGGGCCTTCGTCACCACATGTAGTATACTGCAAAATTTAAAAGCGTTATGTTTGCCCATAACAATTACCGAGGATACCTGTATAAGGAAACCTCGCCATTTCCAAGTCTTCACTTGCCAGCCATTTCGAGCCTCCTGCAATTGTGTTTTCCTTTGAAGTAAGCTGTACCACTGGAAAGTTGCAGTCCATGAGACAAATTACTAGATATCAGCAAAATGTACCTCGATGAGTTTTACTTCGTTTATCGCAGTTGTGACTGTTTGAGATGAAACCCATTTGCTCGTGCTATACAGCAGAGCTTCGTGATGCATTCTTCTCAATGATATTGTCCCCAGGGCTAACACTTTGCCAAAGGTCGACCGGAATGATACGTCTTTTTTTCTCTGCAAGTGCTGCGTCCTGCGCAAAACAATGAGAATTCCAATACATCAAGTTGGAGAGTTACCAACATCCTCCAATTGTGTGTTGAAGGCTGAGGAAATTGCAGGAAGGCTCTTAGAGCGTGTAGAGCGTCGGTAGCACCGCATCCTACGAAAACGTCGTGTTCGACACCTGATAGGTTGTTTGCCGTAACCTTCGAAAACCACGCATTAAGTTTCCTGAGCCACAATGGCCGCCTCCTCGTTGTCCTCGGACTTCTTTGGAGACACATAAGAGTCTCCCTTGCGTCCTTTTCCTTCAGAATTGTTTGCTGAGACTGATTAACGAGAAGAATAAAGTCTTCAACTGCCGGAATGCTCCCTGCACGGTTCACAATATAAGTACAGCTTATAAGAATAAAATCCCGTACCTTTGTTCAGATCTCCTGGAAGTGGTGGCAATAGTGAAGGCGCCCCTACAGGAGAAACCAGAGAATATTGCACGGCTTTGTACTTCCTATAGTCGTCGGAAATGAATTCCAAGTCCTAGAAACCAAGAGATTGCATGAGATCAGCAATGCACTTCCAATTCACCTGGTTTTCATGAAGTGATGCTGTCCACTGTCTTAAAGCAGGCTCGTTCTGGCATTTTGCTTTCAAAACGCTCCATGTATCACACACAATCTTTCTCGGCCCTTCCTCGATCTCATCTTCCGTGAAAACATCGCGAGGGTTGACCTGTGCATTGGCAAGAGTCAGCGTCACCCATAAGAAAACTAAAAGGAGTTCGATACCTGATGGACTAGTTTGTACATGACATCTTGCGCACTTCCAACTCTAATAGCGAGATCGGATCCGGCAGCTTGGAGAGCTAGCTTCAAGTCGGCCACCGCCTCCACGAGCGCCTCCACAAAGTCTTGAGACCATCCTGGAAATCAAGCCAAGCAAAACTATCAATCAGAAGAAAAAAAAAGAGGAAGAAATCTCTCCAAGCAAACCTCGAAACAGCATGGGGTCGAAGACAAAGAGCGGGATCACAGCGTCATATCCCGAGGACGCGGCGGCAACCAGCCCCGGATGATCATCCATGCGAAGGTCTTTCTTAAACCACACAATGCAGACCTTCCTCGAGCGATCTCCATCCCCACGACAGCTTCCGTTCCTCGCAGCGGCAGCCGGAGCTCCAGCATTGGCGATCGCGCGCCTCGAAAGAAAGAAATCAGAGCTGCATGACAGGGAGACCTTCGGCTTCTTGGAGATTTTCGGCAGCGCAGCGGCAGGAACCAGCGCATCCTTGCTCGCCTTCCATCGCAGCTCCAAGAATCGCGACCCAGAAGCGGTGCTAGGGGCCTGCATTGGCGCCTAGGCCGCTCGATCGCCCCAAAAATCCCTAAAAAGAGGCCCCCTCTCTTTCCTTCATGCAACAGTCCCTCTGGGAGAAGTATGAAAAAGTAAAAGCATATATGATCCAGTCACGCTATACTTCATGCTCAGAAGCTTTGTCACGTGTCATCTCGCGAAGAAACGCGTAGCCAAGCAAAAAAATAGCTTAAGTAGAACCATAAAAGATTAGAACCATGAGAGAGAGAGAATTAGATATTAGAACCATGAGAGAAAAGCAATTAGACTAGAACCATGAGAGCCCAATGAACCCAATGAAGAACTTAGTTCTCTACCTGTGACTTTTGTGCTATCACTTTTCAGCCAAAGGATGGCCATTCCAGTTGCCAGTTTGAGCTTTAGTTGGCTCGATGATCTCATCGATTTCCTTGAATGGCCAGGGCCACCTAGTGCTGTAGAGGAATTGCCTCTGATCGAGTCGGTTGTCATCTGGCGAGTAATTCTGCAAGAAGCCAAAGAAAAAAAAACAAAAAAAAATAAAAAATGATATGATATGTAGGAGTTATTGGTCATTTCATGGCGATTGATCGAGTAGAACTGGATCAACTTTTATGGCTACCTGGCCCGGGTCAAGCTTTGCCACCGGTGGCATACGTCCTGCGGAATATCACATCGAAGCACACCTTAAAACGTCCAATTGGTGGCCTAAGCACACTGGATACGGGGCCACAATGAAAGATCTTGCGTACGTTGATGTTTCGAAAACAACGAAGGCAACATATAGTAATGCGTCTCCGAAAAAAGGAACCGGAAAGGAGTGTTTCAACTACCTGTGAATAGTTTTCTCTAATTGGCTCTCCAAGCTCTGCCGTCGTACAACCTCCGCAAGAATGGGATAGTGGAGATTATTTGCACACCAGCGGAGAAATGATCGCAAATCCTGCTTGCTTAGGCCACCAACTGGATTTAAATCTGCCGAGCTACAGTCATACTAAAAGGACTATGAACGAACTTAATTAGAACAAGAAAGAATCCACTCTTCCCTTTCACCCAAGGGAATAGTGATGCAAGCATATAGGCAATCACCATCCTGCTCCTAGCTTGTAGATTTTGTAGATCGAGATTGTTGCCAAGGGGCTGAACATATAAAATGAGGCCTACCTTGTAACGAGGAACTTTTCCAGTCAAGCTTGTAAACAGCGACACCAACGCTGATACTATTTTATCGATTTTTGCGAGGCGAGTTGACCTGCACGATTGAGCGTCGGCGCTGAGCTGAAAATTAAAAATCTTACATTCACTCCGAAAAACTTTCTAGCCTACCTGTTCTCGGATCCCATGTAAAGAGAACACAACTGGAAATGAACTAGCGGGGAAGGAGCACTAGACTCGACGTCACTTTTAAGATCCACGGGAAGGCTGGAAGAGGTAACAGCGTTTCTGGGATTCATGTATATCAAAAAGAGAGAACTATTCTTTCACTCGCACTCATACTTTGATCGTGTTTTTTTAATTCTAGATCGCTCACAGCTCAGTGGTGATCATCTCGTAATTCTGGAGGTAAGCTACTTTTGAATTCGTGAACTTTGGATTGAATATTTGAATTCTTTTTCTCTGTAGGTCATGGTGGTGGGTCGCATGAAATTGCACCAGGCGCTCGAAAGGATTTGTCAAGGACGTGTTCAAGCTTGCAAGTGTATGAAGAAGTGTGGCATCTGGGAGTCAATGACCTAGAGAAATTCATAGATGCAACAAGTACACGCCCACTTCTGTAACTTCCACAAGTTAACACAACTGTAGAGCTTTCAAGAGTTGGATTTTGGGCTATTAATGTGATCTCGTTCAAGTAAATCATTCCTTAAGCTGAGAGAGAACGAGAGACACTTAACTGGATATTGTTTGTGATCTGTGTAAAGCTTAGAGGTTCGTGCATCCCGCAAGCTCAGTTTCAATTGGCCTACACTTTTACCAGTGTCCATGGCCTCGGCAAGCTTGCTGTGAAGTGTCAGGTGCCTCCAGAGGATGCTGACAGTGTTGAGAACGGCCTAGGAAACGGCCTCTGAGTTGCGTGAGGCTGAGCTCTTTGAGAACGCTCGTCCAGTTGCAGGAAAGTTTATTTGAAACTGTGAATCCAGCTTCAATCAATCACCTGTTGGATGTTTGATAATCCCCCTTCTGCAAGTCCGAGTGCAACGCATGCATAATTGTGCCATAAACCGCGAACTTAGTTCTTACGAAGTTAGCTTTCCAGTTTTAACCTGCAAACAGTATCACCCTTGCTAGTAACAGAATTTGAAACTTACTTCCTTCCTGGAACTCGAAATCCACGAACCGAGTGCAAAGCATGCGTTAGCTTTCCAGTTTTACCCTGCAAACAGTATCACCCTTGCTAGTAGCAGAATTTTGAACTTACTTCCTTCCTGGAACTCGAAATCCACGAAACTTGTCCCAGCTTGACAGCTTAGAGAAACTGGAAGAAATGCGTCTATTTCTGTACTTGTTGATTCTAACTCGAACGAGAGTGTGAGCAATGCTTCCACACCACCATTGTCGACAATGTGTTCTAGATGAAAACAAAGAGGAAGGAAAAGCTCTTACCTGATCCAAACTTAGAGCAAGAATGAGATGCTGGAGCTGATCAAAAGGTGGAAGAGCTGCCATGCTTAGAACCACGCATTAAAAGAATGGAGAGCATTAGCCCCTAACCAATGTAATCTCTAACTACGAATCTAGACCGTGAGATGCTACAATCCGACGGTAGTGTATGGTTGTGATTTCGTGCTATCACATTCCAACCAAAGGATTGCCAGAGGCAGCCGCGGGAACTCCCATCCCACTTGCCAGTTTGCTCGCTTCTTCAGCTTTAGTTGGCTCCTCAGTCACTACTGGCCTCTTCGCAGCGCGCTCCACGATCTCATCGATTTTCTTGAATTGCCAGGGCCACCTAGTGTTGTAGAGGAATTGCCTCTGATCGAATCGGTTGTCATCTGGCGAGTAATTCTGCAAGAAGTCAAACAGAAAAAGAAGTCAAAGAAAAAACAGAAAAAATGGAATCGGCTGGACTGTTTTTCTTACACCATACCTCAGCATGATACGCAGGAGTTATGGTGGTCATTTTGTGGCGATTGATCGAGTAGAACCGGAAGAAGTCTTTGACTTTTATGGCTACCTGGCCCGGATCAAGCTTGCCATGCCATCGGTGGCATAAGTTCTGCAGAGAATCACATCAGTGTCGTGGAGGAAAGATGCCACGAAACACACCTTAAACATAGACACGGGGCCACAATGAAAGATCTTGCGGAGACGGCCATACATTGAAAGCTCCTCATATGTCATCCCCATGTCCTCTTCGTCAGTCTGCGAAAACGACAATGTAGTAATTCGTCTCCAGGAAAAAAGAACTGAAAGGAGTGTTTAAACTACCTGTGAATAGTTTTCTCTGATTGGCTCAAGCTCTGCCGTCGGTGGAGCTGATACAACCTCCGCAAGAATGGGATAGTGGAGATTATTTGCACACCAGCGAAGAAATGATCGCAAATCCTGCTTGCTTATGCCACCAATTGGATTTAAATCTGCCGAGCTACAGTCATACTGAACAGCATATATTAGGACTATGAACAGACTTAAACACATGCACTTACTTTTGTAAGATATCCTCGTAGACCTTCGTCTACGTTCGCGCTTCCTAGAACAAGAAAGAATCCCCTCTTCCCTTTCACCCAAGGGAGTAGTGATGCAAGCATATAGGCAATCACCATCCTGATTCTAGCTTGTAAATTCTGTAGAGCGAGATTCTCAGCAGTAGAACCTCCATCCACCTGAAAAAGCCCTGCTGTCAAGAGCTGAACATATAAAATGAGGCTTACCTTGTAACGAGGAACTTTTCCAGTCAAGCTTGTAAACAGCGACACCAACGCTGATACTATTTTATCGATTTTGAGATCCATATGAGAAGCTCCAATTTGCGAGGCGAGTTGAGCTGCACGATTGAGAGTTTGCGCTGAGCTGAAAACAAGAAAAAACTTAGTCAATCAACAAAGCCGATACTTTTCTACCTGTTCTCAGATCCCATATAAACCGTGAAGACAATCCGGTTTGCAAACTCCTCGGCGCTTTTTGGCACCTTCCCGTTCTCGTAGTTTCCTATCCTGATGGCATCGTTTAAAACTTGCTCATCACCTTCTTCAATAGCTACACACCAAAAAGATCAAAATAAAACTTTCCATGAAACTTCAAGCGAAGAGCATACCTCTTATTACAAGTTGGCACATCGATCCCACAATAGCAGCCACAGCGGAGCTATCTGCTCCTCCAGATAGCGGGAGGAGATATCCTGTCGCACCACAACGTCGCAAATAATCCCACAACCAGCAAGCAGGACCAAGAGCTATCTCCTCCTCCGGTAAGTAGTATCTAGGCTGCGTACACGTAACAAACAATTAGATCAACGACTTTATCATAAAGTAAGGATCCCACCAGTATCGGTAGCGTAGGAAATAAAAGAAGGCTATCGTCCGGCCTAGAAAGCCGAAAATCAACAGAAACGTAGGGCATAAACTTATGCTGGCTGGCCTGTTCTCTTAAACTGCTAATAGATCCTCTGAAAGTCGAAACCTGCAAATTCGTGTCAACAGAACCAAAACAAATATTTTTTTCCGATCTTACCGCGTCCAAATCAACACAAGCAGTCAAGACTTCCACATCGGCTAATGAAAACTGAGAGCCCTGGACCACCATATCGCCATTCACGAAAACGGTCGCACATCCGTCTAGCATTTCATGACGTAAAAAACCTTATTAAGTCACTGGAGAAGCAAAGCTTACCATAATAGAGACGGGCACCATCACAGCCTTGCTGGTTAGCGTATAGATAAACTCCACCAGCCTTATGCGTAGCTCCTTGCATCAACTCAATCCTTGTGTTGAGTTTTCTAAGCTGATGATGGCTTCCACTCCCATTTACAATGATCTCCACTCCATTTAGTGCCAGGCCAATGTGTGGCGACGATGGAGTGAAGAGTTCTTCGCAAGTCTCTACAGCAACGGCTCTGAAAGAAAGAGAGGAACAAAAAAACCAAGATTGAAAACGAGCAAGACAATCACTTACGTATCCAAGAACGAAACGTAGGCATCACCAAACGTGACCGTCTTCTGCGAAGTTTTGGACCAGATGATCTCCGGGAGCTTGTACTCGATCACCGAGTTGTGATGCTGCCAAGCCGCGAACCATCTCAGCTCGCGGTAATTCCCATCGTTGGCCAGGAACTTCTTGGGACGAATGAGAAGGATCTTTCCATCGAGGCAAAAAACCCGGCAATTGTAGCGAACGCCATCGGACACAACAGGCATCCCGATATCACACACGATCCCATAGGTTAAATCCGAGGACAAAATTTCCGCGAGACACTCCCATCTAGAAAGAAGAATGCACATCAATCACTCCCATAAACCTAGAAATTCTAAGATTACGCGTGAGCGCTGGTGTCGTTCTCCAGGAAGTGATCGTCGCAGCCATAGCCAGTGATTTCCAGCTCGGGGCCGACGCGGAGCATCGATCCAGCAGCTCGCGCCTGGCGGATGGACTCGTTGATCCGGCCGAGGTTGCCCTCGAAATCCATAGCCCATTGATTCAAGCTACACGTAGAGACCTTCACTAACCTCATTCTCTTGCTCGCTCTGGAACCCTAAAACCTCACATTGCCGCCACGTGTACACATCGTATGCTCCTGATCGTGGCCGTCCATTTCCAACCGAAAAGATAAGGCCACATGAAAGCTGCATTATTTTAGGACATCTAAAGATGTCAATTAAACACCTAAATTGCTAGAAGCATCAACTTTTGGTTCCATAGCATGGAAAGCTCCCCTGAACTTTCCCCATTGTCACGCATGCACGCCGCCACCTCGCCGTAAAAACAAGAATGCACGTGATCCTGTTGACAATCACTTTAGGGTTTTGTCCTTCTAGGGCAAAATTGAAAATGACGGGAGTTCGATCCCCTTAAAAAAAGAAGAGGAACTTTCCCGCGAAATTTTGGGTGTTCCTTCTCGCGATGCTTCTCTCACGTCTAAAGAAAGTATTCCTCAATGGGCAACGCACTCCAGCAACAAAAGAAATTGGAAACGGTCACGTTGAAGATGGTTGACCCTGACAACCCGGTTTGGTCAACAAATTCCAAGATCACCACGCTTGAGTTCCGAGAAGGCCACCAAGCAGCTGCGCAACAGCCGCCAGTCAAACGCATTCAAACCCGCCCGGTCATTGCGGTCAACGATCCCCTGTATGGCCGGCCAGCGGTTTATGGTCAATGGTCAGGCCGTTTGAACCCTTGCCGATCGCAGCATTCACCGGATTCGGCCACCACGATCGCTCGGTCAATGGTCAATGGTCAAACTAAAGAGAACTTAAATGTTTTTAAAAACTTTGATCTTTTGATATTGACCCTGTCAAAATAAATCAATACATGCAACATCTCCATAAAGTCCAGGGAAGCACTCTAGGAAGCTTCCTTTTGTACTCGTCACCAGGGATATCCCTGTTAGGCGCTACGTAGCTTTTCGGTAAACTTACCCCGCAGATAGCCCAGTTTTGCTCGCTCTCGAGGATAATTTACCACGTCTCACATGCTGTACAAGTCAAAAAATATCTAGTTAAAACCGGTGGGCCTTCCAGTAAGTCGTCGTTCTAGAAAGTCTGTCCAAGGCACTTAAGCTTTTAAGGCCCTACTATAAGCTGCAATTGAAACAAGCACCCTGTGAAGAGAAGGGGAAGAACATGAGAGGAGAGCTCTTCACTCACTTGGCGCACAATTAAGATAGAATCGTCCAGCGAGACTTCGTGGTGGAAGCGTGGAAGCGCAGCTCAGAGTAGCAGCACCCCCTTCGTTTTTTCGCGATTTCTCGCGACTTAATCGAGCAGAACGAGCTGCGCACCTGGAAAGGGCGACCAGGATCTTAGCATAGAGAGTGTATAGACTCGGGATTCACAGAAGAAAAGATTTTAGCCAAGCAACAGTAAAGTACCTCATAGTCGGAGATGGCTCCAGCGAAGTTCTCCACCTCCTCGTCACAGCTGCATTTGCCTGCTGGCTTCAGGTTCCATCCGACAGACGAGGAGCTCGTCGTCCACTACTTGTGCAAGAAGGCCGAGTCCAAACCATTCCCTGTTCCTGTGATAGCCGAAGTAGACCTCTACAAGTTCAGCCCCTGGGATCTCCCGAGCAAGGCCTACTTCGGCGAGCGAGAGTGGTACTTCTTCACTCCCAGAGACCGAAAGTATCCAAACGGTGCTCGCCCCAACCGAGCAGCCGGGTCCGGCTACTGGAAGGCCACCGGCACTGACAAACCGATTCACACCCGAGGCAACCGCAAAGTTGGCGTCAAGAAGGCCCTCGTCTTCTACGATGGAAAAGCTCCAAAGGGCGTCAAGACCAACTGGATAATGCACGAGTACCGGCTGGTCGAGTCGAGCAGCCACAAGCCGGCCAAGGATCACAAATCTCTCCGAGTAAGTTCCACCTGCTTGCTCTTATCCGAATTGGGGGCTCACTGTGTCTCGTCTTTTTTTCAGCTGGATGACTGGGTGCTGTGTCGGATATACGAAAAAACCAGCGGGGCCTTCAAAGTCATGGTGTCGTCGCGTCACACTGAGCCCGAGCCGGAAGCCGAGATGGAGCCCGAGCAGGAGGCCGAGGCCGAGGAGTCCGAGTCCGGGTTGGACGAAATGCTGGCAGCCTTGCCGGACATAGATAACTCCAAGCTAGCGCTTCCCCAGTTCTGTGCTCATGAGAACCTGATGACTGCCAGCTGCTTGCCCGACGATATGCCTGAAGATCTATCCAACCGAAGTGGAGTGCCCCAGCAAAGTCAGTACCACGACGACTATCCAAAGAGTTCCAGTTCGGAGCCGTGTTTCGGCAACAACTCGGAGCTGAGTACGTACTGGTCCCTCTATCCGCAAGGCAATCTCTTTGGAGGCTGGGAGCAGTCTCCAACACTGAAAAGAGCACCAAGTACGATCAGCGACATCTTGGAACACATGCAAGCTAGAAAGAGGATAAAGGTAAACCTTGAGGACGACGACGTCCAGAGCACCTGCAGATCACCTCTTCCTTCCTGCAGGCGGCAACAACAGCAACAGCTTTACCCGTTGCTCTAAGTCAAGTAAGAATAATAAGGATAGAATTTTTTTTAGCATGCTGGAGAACGTTTTTTAATGGCTCTCGTTGAGAGAGCACGCAAACGAATGCTCGTAATGTACAACATGCTTTCCTGTAACATCAAAATATTAGGCAGATATGCTAAAACATATGCTAGATATAAAACTTGTCTCGCAAACCCATGCATGCTGACGCCCGAAACCACTGTTGACTTCAGTTATACCATAGCCTGAGCTTGGGCTGCTTTCGAAACTCCGCATCCCAAACCTGGCATTTCCCATGTGGTTTCTCCACGTGATTTTCAGGTAACATTCCTTTGTTAGGAACCATCTGTGAAAAAGAAAAAAAAAAACAACCAGGATCAGTGAAGTATGATGAGAGAATGTGCCAAGAGGAAATTGACGTCAAACTAGTTACACTTACATATTTTCCTCTTGGAAGCTCAGCTTTGACATATTCATCGCCGACGAATACTTGGTTGTACAGGACATCGTGAGAATACAATGTGCTGCAAACATCACAAACAAACAATTCCGTTATCTCGTACTTGGTGCCGAGAGAAGGACGGCTCACTCAGGCTGCGAAATGACAATCTCGGAACCATCCTCCTCATCTGCCTGAATATGTCCCCACTTTGATGCGCGAAACTGGTATGCTGGCCAGTACTTCAGATCGAGCGTTTCTTTAGTCACTGCCTGGTCTGCAACAGGATCACCCATGAAACGCTTCTCTGTGTTTTCCTGTCACCTTGTAAGTTAGTATCTTACGTGCAAATCAATGTGACTGACTGACCTTTGTCAAGTCGTGCTTCACAGGGTCGCATAACTCCTTCACCGAAAATTTAATGGTATGCTTGAGCGGTTCAAACGGATCGTAGTCCGGTCTTGGATAGTCCCGCATCACCATCTGCTTGTTCGCAATCGCCATATATTGATAGTGGAACCACCCTGGACAAACAGAAGATGAGGTGACATGTAACAACAAAACAAATCTCCTGAAGAACGTACTTAGCTTGTCCTTGATATAGTCAGGGGATATTTCTTCGAGAGAGTCCTCGATCTGCCGCTGAATATACTCGTACACTTGTACTCGCCATTGCTCGTAGAGCAACGAATGCTTCTCATGGTGTTTTCGATCCGCGAGATTCACCAAGTCACTCATCAATCGCATTATGTGGCCTTGCCGATTCTCCAAGCCGCTGATATAAGACCGGTACATCTTGTTGTACTTGGCCTCGGCTCTCCTCCGCCTGCGTTCCGCGGCCTCTTTCAGCATCTACATAGCAACAAAGCCAAAGCATTAGAAAACTCATACAAAGAAGAACTCGTTCTGAAAGTATACCATTCGCGAGCTGATAGTGAAAGAAAAACGTTGGTGGTGGAGAGAGAAACCTCCTGTTCTTGCGGAGTGAAGTTCATGAAGTTGTCGCCGCGGCCTTTCCTAGGAGACAATCCTGCGTGCTCACAAAACCATCCTCGTCTCACTCTATAGCCGCGAGGTCTCCTCTTCCACTGCAAGAAAGAAAGAAAACTAACAGAGTTTAGATTTGCAAGAAAAAAAACTAAACAAGTCTAGTTCTTTCTAAGAGCAAAGAAACCATACCTTTTTCTTCTTGAGACGAGGAACTTTGTCTGGATCGGGCGGCGGCAATGGCGAGTAGACCTCATCCCGCGTCGCCGGACACTTTCTAATCCACCGGGGAGGCTTGAAGAACCCAAGAAAGGCCTCTGGATTCGTCATAGTGATCTCACCATGGGGATTTGGCTCCTCGCCGGCCCTCTTTGCCAATGCAGGCTTGAAGAAGCCCAGGAACGCCGCGGGCTTGCAAGGAGAGATCTCACCTTGGGGATTCTCGACCTCGTGGGGCAGCTTCTTCTTCTTCCTCCTCATCTTGATCGGGCTGTCAGGCTCATCCGGCGCTGGATTGCTCCTGGGCTTGGCGGCGGGATTCTTGCCTCGGACCGGCAATGCGGGGGCCATGAGAGCTCGATCGATGGAAGCGGCCGCTCGCTGGAACCCTAAAAAGCCGAAAAGCAAGGAAAAGAGAGCCTTTTTGAGCTGGCGCAATATAAACGCGCCAAGTGGATTGCTTGTAACTGTGGCTGGTAAAGAGGTTAGAATGGATCAAACGATTGGACAGTGCTTTAAAACCGCATTTGATCATGTTCTTCGTGAACTTCACTCAGATCGATCAAGAGAACGTCAATGTTTTGACCATACATATAGATTGACAATTTTAGTTTAAACTACAAAACATTTCACCACCAAGACATTGTCACGGTCAAGATCAAAACAAATTTTACTAAGAACTTTGTTTCTTTTTATATCTGTATAGCTGATCTTTGTGAAAGAATTCTCATACATGACTTTGCTCGACGTCAGAATCGATTCTCATGGCTGTGATTCTGACGCGAGCAATGTCATGTATCAAGAATCGCATTGCTCGACGTCAGAATCGATTCTGGCTGCTGCGACATGGAGTTTGCCTAGTTCCACAATGATCCATCAATGGTGAGCTTAGAATCCCACGCTTTTGCTTCCAGCCTTAGAGCAAAAAATCCATCCATTATACCTCTTGTTTTGCTCACCTACGAGATGGATTGTTTGAACGAATTGCCGAAGTACCACGCTGGTAACGTTTGAGTAACTCCACTCAAGAGCTTGAAGAACTTTTGACCCAGTATGGCGTTAGATTCCATTTATAATCAAGTGGCAAAGTCAGTGCACAGTTCTCATATAAAAAACACTGGAGATCTTGAAATTTTCTATCATACCTGTGATCGCTAGTATTCACCAAGAGAGAATCGTAACTTGTAACACAATACATATAGCGTATCTTACAACATCACTGTGGTAGAGAAAACTTTCTACTATTTTTCTAATGGAAGTTACTTCGCTCTATGCCAATCAAGAATGCTGCTTCTGTGAGCACAGCCAAGACTCCCGCGGCCAGCATCATTGCCAGTAATCGCGTACTCACTTACAAAGGCCTGGAAAAACAAGGAAAAAAAAGGAAGAAGTGGATTAGAACTATACCTTTGGTCCATCGTTTCTACGAACTGGTTATTGAAGAGATTACTGCCACAGTCCTCGTTTGTTCTCAAAGTATATATTTGCTAGAGCTGGAGACAATGAGAGCAAAAGTTTCTAAAGCTTAAAGCATATCTCACGACGAAGTACCTGGACAAAGATGGAGATTCAAAGTTGCGCAAAGTTATCTAGTTCGCTGGAAGTTTGTCGAGAGTTCTTTCTCTGCGCACCATTGTTGAAACCATATTGGCAAAGCGTCCAAGTCTTCTGCAAGTCTACTGGAAGAAAAACAAACGCCACGCTAAAATCTAGACTTACTTGGAGGAACTCAAAGTAGCCGAGGCCAGTCCCGCTAAGTTCAGACACGATCTCTTGAGAATTTAGCTGCAAACTTGGGAAGCGTGAACCGGAGCTCGAGTTCATGAGAGTTTTCGTGTCTCTCGACTTGTGCCGCAGCTTCATATGTGACTCCTGGGCATTTTCTAGAGGAGTGGCAAATAAGGCGGTCCTCGCTTGAGAGAGAATAAAAATATTCATCTCGAAACCATCTACGCCGTTGATAACCAACGGCTCTGGGCTATAAAGCGTATGAAAATTTCTCTTCTTCTAGCTCCTGTGTTTCTTTCGCGATGGCACCGCCAAAGGTTGAGGATCCGGAGTGGACGCCGAAATCTAGGTCTACATCCTCTCGTGCCGAGCCTTCCTCGCGCACTCGAGGCCTTGTCGATGAGGATTTCATACAATTACTTGGGAACTACGCTTCTAGGATCTGTCCACCAGCTCATGATCAGGAAGATCCGGCCCGGAGTGTCGAGGGAGCCCGCCGGAGGAGTGAGCGCGTCGCCTCTGGTTCCCGGAGGAACCTGCAAGAGCACAGCGTGGGGGCAGAGATTCACGGCGCCTCGAGCTCGGAGCATCGCGGCCCCCCAGATGATCGCGGCGAGGCAAGTCAGGAAACTTTATAAAGTTGGCATGGAAACACCTCTTAATCTTACTCGAAAACTCTGAAACTTCAGAGCATCCAAGCTCACCTAGAATGTCATACGGTGAAATCTCCAACACTTCTAACAATTGAAAAACTCACCAGCAATATCATCTGGAATTTGCTCGTGGATCTCTAAGCCCTTTGAGATGATAATCCTTTCCTAAGAAGGCTCTTGTGTCGCTCATCCGAAACATGCTTCAACTTCCACAAACCTTGAGCAACTTTCTTAAATTGAACTTTCAACCAGCCACCATTTATATCCATCTCGGAGGGAGCTCCCATGTATTGAAGCTTAGAGTCGATGATGTTGTCATTTGCGTGGCAAAAGTTGATCTGCATCCACAATTTTTTGTAACATAATCGTTGCTGCTAGCTTCTTTAAGTAGTAATGGCTGAATGTCACCTCGTTGTGCTGGTATTTAGAGAAAACCTGCTTGTCCCACTTGATCTCGTGCTGAGTAGACCTCCAGTGGTCCATGTTCTAGGATGCCAACTAGAAACTTCCCCATGCTAAGCACAGCTGCTTCATTGCCTCGACTAGCCACATGTCCCAGCCAGCCCTTGAGATGATGAAAACAACATCTGCGATCTAGATCGCGAGCTCTCAAACTTCTAAAAACTGCCTGGAACAGTTGCTACCCACCCTGTTGCTGCCAATGCACAGCCTTTATATACTCCATGTTTAAAAGACAAGCATTTGTTCCTATGGTTGCTACTAGAAAGAACAGGCCACTTCAAGATATACTTGGTTGCAGCCTTGACATCTTGGTAGAGGTTCCTATTGTTGAAAATTAGATCAATGTAATCCTTGTTGAAGGCCAATGCAAAGAGATAAAGCTCATCCTCAATCATATCTTTGTGAGGCTTGAATCCATATAGGGCGTGAAACCTCCACAATGGGCTCTTCCTTGCATATAAAAAGTTTATATATGCAATCTTATATAATCATAGCAATTATGTACTTGTCACTCTAGGATTGTCAAATGCATGCAAAAATGAGCTTGTACTTTAGCAAGTAGTAGTTTTTTTTAAAACTTTCTCCCTAAAAACAAACTTAGGAGAAAATTATGATGAGTTGCAAAAAAGTTTTATCAAGGAAAATCTGAAACAATCAAGGAATATATAACTCGATTTAACAAGCATTATAAACATTATAAAGACTTAGTGTCAGACAAAAATCACCTACACCTATACATATAAGGCTTCAAGAAATTTTATTATGAACATATGATAAAGAGAGTTTAAGTGGCTCTTTTATATCTGACTATTTTACCTCAACTTATCTAGCTATAGGTTGCATATTCTTAGCAAGCCTATTATTTTTTCTTGATGATTCAATTTAATTATATGGCCTAAAATAACGAGTAGAAGTTTTAGTTTGATCATACTCTTTTAGCCTTTCATAATCTCTAGGCATATTATCTCTAGACTAATTATAATCTTTAAGTTTATTTTCCTCATGGCTAGGTGGATAATCTTGAAAATTACCTCTAGGCAGATAATCCCGACAGTCATCTTGCCTTTTAGTGTATAGGTATTTGGCACTTTAATTATCATTGTAATTATTCCTTCTACAATAATTTCTATCGTCAAGTGGATAATTTTGCCTACATGTTGTTTTATCAACATGGGCTACTTGTTAGCGTCTTGGTTGCTTAAATAAAGTTTTATACTCCTTAGCTGAATGCCTTTTTTTCTCATAGAATTAACACTTGATCAATTGGAATTTGCATTCTTCATTGTTAGTTTCCTTATCTATAGGAGTTGTACTTTTGTTTGACTTTACCATATTTACCATGTTATTTATTTTATGAGATTTTGTAAGCAATCATAGCTTTTTTCAAGTCATTAAAATCTATTGGCTTTCACCACTTGTAATTGTATTTAGGAAAATATAGCAAATTACGAGTTTGTGTAAATTACTAAAAGCTAAATGATGCAACAATGAATATATTCCCTATTCCTTTCATAAATGAAATTTTACATTTATTAATAGGCCATGAGATGTATTCATTTTGAAATAGATTCTTTGGTTATAACCAAGTAAAAGTAGCACATAAAGATCAATATAAAATGACTTTTATAAGCCCATAGGGAGCTTATGCCTATTGCAAAATGTTTTTTGGCTTATACAATGCTCTTTTTACATTTTAAAGAGTTGTTATTGACACTTTTAAAGAATATCTCATTGATTTCATGAAATAATTTTAGTGTCTTCAGCTCCAAAATATAACATTTAATTTATTTGTAAAAATGTTTTAAAAAATGCAGAGAACATAGCATTTCTCAAATGTACTTTTTTTATAAATTCTAGTATACTTCTAAATTATATTGTATATAAAGAAGGCATCCTTGTAAACAAGACAAAACTCAAGTGATTAAAACAATGTTTCCATCATATAATTTAAAAAATCTTTATTGTTTTCAAGGTAAAATTGGCTATCATTTTATTCACTAATCTTTTAAAGAAAGATACTTCATTTATATGGAATGAAAATTTTCAAGAATCATTTTTAAGGCTTAAATAATGCTTTAAAGAAGCATCTATGCTTGTTAAACCAAATTGGATAAAAGAGTTTCATCTATAAGTGGATATTTTTTATATTGCCACAAATGCAATATTATCCCAGACACAAGATGATCAGAAAGATCATTTTATTTATTATGCTAGTAAACACTTAAATACTATTGAGTATAACTACATAATGACTGAAAAAAATGTTTTAAATGTAATTTACAGCTTACAAAAATCTAGGCATTATCTTTTGGCAATAATAATAATTATCTTTGCTAATCATAAGGCTCTTTTATATCTCATCAAACAACTGTATATATCTACTTGACTAACTAAATGGTTTTTAATAGTACAAAAATATAATCTTAAAATGGTATATAGACCTGGAAAATATCATAAACAAGTTAATTTCCTAAGCCGCATCACTACAGAAGAGTCACCTAATAATAAGGTAGACGAACTCTCATATACTCACTTATTTGTAATCTTTGTG